GCCTGGTCCAGGGGTTTTAGGAGCCTTCTCTGGGCAGCAGCCCCTGGTGACCATTTTCCCACTGGTCAGTTTAGGGGCTTTTCTATGTAAGGCTGTGACGCCGGGACCCGGTGGGCATGGCGCTCTGTCCTAGATTCCTGTGATCCGGGCCCGTGGTTTAGCCTTACACACTCTATTTTCAACATTCTGTGTCTTCTTTAGGCCCCTTGGTGGACTCTTTGCCCAGTGGCTGTGTGTCCGGCTTTCGGCATACAGAGCCTGACCCACAGATGCTTGTTGGTGCAGCCTTGCTCACGCCCAGCTCCCTGATGACCTATCAATTCCTCAGCTCCTATCAATATGACTTTTTGCTTAATTCAACAGCAGACCTGGTTTTTAATTGCTATTTGTAATTGTTATGCATATCAACATTTTCTCTGAACTGTGGGACCAAAACAAAGAAGAAAGGAAGTGGGTCACCGAGCAGACACGAGTCAGCAACAGTCACTGGCCTGGTCAAATTCTTATGTTTCAGGCCTCTTGGCTCTTCTGCAGCCCAGGCAGAGGGAGGGCATGTGCAAAGGCCCTGAAGTAGAAGGGCAAGCACGTGGAAAGAACAGCTGGAGCAGAGTGAGCCAGGGGAAGAGAGGGAGCCCAGAACCAGCGGGGGGGAGGTCTGGGTGGGGCCTCACTAGTCAAGCTGCAGACTAGGGCCTGCTCAGGGCACCTCACAAACCTCACAGACCGGGCATTTACTGAACGGCAGACATTCGTTTCTCACTGTTCAGGAGGCTGGACGGTCCAGGTCAGGGTACGCAGGGTCAGCTTCCAGTGAGGCCCACTCCCTGGTTTGTGGATAGCCGGCCACCTTCCCGCCGTGTCCTCCTGGGGCCCTTCCTCTGTGTGTGCTCGTGGACAGAGGGAGAGCGAGCTCTCTGGAGCCTCTTCCCATGAGGGCACTAATACCAGGGTGGGGCCCCGCCCGCATGACCCCATCAAACCCTGACCATCTCCCAAAGCTACCTCCTAGCACCAGCACTCTGGGGGTTAAGGCTTCCACGTATGAATTCTGGGGAGACACAGTTCAGTCCACAGCAAACACCCAAAGCCACCTGGAGGGACTGTGCCCCTCCCTCCCCAGGGGCAAGTCCCACCGTCACAACTCTACCCTGGGGCCTGTGTGTCCCCATCCAGGCACTGAGGGAGCCAGAGGGGGGCTCTCTGGGGCAGCCAGTGGGGGTGCATGTGGCCCCACTGAGCGGCCTTTGGGGTTCTCCTGTTCCCTCCTCGGCCAGCAGGAGGCCAGTCACCTGCTCTGGGTGTGCTGGCCGAACCCCCCGTCCTGCTGTGGGGAGCCCTTTTCCTCAGGTCTCGTCAGACAAGTGGCAGCAGGGTGTCCCTCCCCACGGGGGCAAGACAGGCTGTGCCGCTGACACCGTGAGCCCCACTGGAGGCCAGTCAGAACGGCCGTGTAATACTTCACCCAAACCTGCTCTGGGGTGACATCAAGCCAGCCGTGGCCCCCGGCTTCGCCCAGCATGGAGAGACTGCACCACTTCAATGCACATGTCGATTGTAAAATGCAGCCAGATTCAGAAGCATTAAAACAAGGTGTGTGGGGGATTGTATCTTAGAATCCGAGAAATGGGCAGCATCGCAACCTCTGCTGGTTTTCCAGGCCCTGCTCCAAGTCCCACGACAGCCCCTGGCACCGCCCCCCCCCACCGGTCTGCAAGAGGCATCTGCCCTCCCTCCATGGGCGCGCAGGCCGGGCGACGGTGCTGCTGAGGTGGAAACACGCAGCTGAGGGTGATTGTCAGATCCTCCGACACAAGGATGCTCTCTGATTCCACAGGCTTTCGACAGTGGGGAGGCCTGCATCTCGGAGCTGATACAGTGAGGGATTGGTGTTCCTGTTTTACAGAGGGGGAAACTGAAGCCCGGGGCCAAGTACTGTGGTTAAGGGCACACGGCACAAATTCGACAGTGGGGGTCTCCAACCTGGGGGCCCCTGGGGCTCAGGAGGGGCCGGGCAAAGGCGCAGCTCCTTCCTGCTCCCAGGGCCGCCTGTGCAGCCGCATGGGCATGGGCCCCGGAGGGCAGAGCCGCTGAGCCTTTTCTGCACCCCACCGACAGGGCAGGCTCTGCACGGGGCAGAGAGAGGAACCCAGCTGCAGCCCAGACTCCGGAGCAGGCCCTGCCCTCCAGCTGTCGTTTGGTGTCCAGGCAGTGCTGCTCAGGAACACCACACATTCTCAGGAAAACTTCTAGAAGGAGGATTATTCCAGAGCACTGCCACGCACCAGGGACGGAGCCTGGTGGGGACAATCCTGCGTCCTCACAATAAGGAGAGCGGGGACGGTGGACATGGAGGCAGGGGGATGGGGGTCCCTGCCACGCACCCAGGAAGAGGTGGAGAGCAGGATTTGGGACGGACTCTGAGCATCACAGCGGCCCCGCTGGGCCATGTTACAGCCTGGGCGGACGCAGCTGTTGGACGGAGGGCCACGGGTGCAAGGGTGTGTGTGCACGTGCCCACGATCCTGTCCTTGTGCCCCAAACCTCTCGTCCCATTTGCAAACACCACCGCCTGCTCCCAGCTGTGCTCACGGGGACGTGGGAAGGCCATTGCTGGGGGCAAAGGTACGCTGTTGGGGGACAAATGGAGAGGAACAGCTTGGGGTTTGATGCCTGGCAGAGGGTGGGCCATGTGGGACTTGCAGACCTTCTTCTGGGGCCCAGATGCTGCCTGGGGAGCCGGCACGGACAAGTCTGACCTCCTCAACTGGGTTTGCTTGGGTGCTCATCCAACAGCCAGACAACCTGGCCCCGGTGGACCAGCTGCTCACTCACCTCCCACCCCAGGGGGCCAGGTGCCCCGGGCACAGGACAGCACCACCCTGAGGGCGCCGCAATGTTCTCCCGGAGCGCACGCAGCCATCGCTGCTCCACACCTGCCCTCCTGGCCCTTAGCTGTATTTTATAGGAGCGGCTGTTACGGCCACTCAGGGTAAGGGACGAAAAGGCCTCGTAAGCTGGTCTGGTGGTCTGGGATTTGAAGGACTGAAGGCACATTCGGGGGCATTTTATGCAGGAGGGTACGGTGCAGGGCAGCTGAAAGAGACAGATCACTGGAAAATTAAATGTGGGCTTTAACTGGGAAATAATCACTTCCTGTGAAAGATAATGACTTCTCTGGAGGCTGGTATCAAGATTTATCGGCCCACGAGGTTAGTAGGGACTGGAGCCAAGGCGCGTGAGGCCCTGGCAGCTGCAGTCCCGGTGTGGAATTTCGCCGGCTCAATAGACCCGAATGCTAGAGCCGCGCTCACACTCGTGGGGCCGGCTGAGACTGAGGGCATCGGACACCATCCACGGTGCTGAGCTGAACAATCCAAGTTACTGTAGAGCGCGGCTTCCCGCGGACCCCGCTGTCCTGGGCATGGCGTGTCTCCAGCCGGCACCTGGGGAAGGTCGTTCGGGAGGGTCCAGCTGGGAGCACAGCCACCCCACGGCGACCAGAAAGGGGGCGATCGAGTTTGAGGCAAATCTGCAGGGTTTTGATGCGGGAGATTTATTACCATGCCAAACGCGTGTGTGTAAAACACATAACTCCTCTCACACGGCCTCGTAAATCCAAAAGGGTCAGCAATAAATAGAGAAAAATAAAAAATTACAGACTAATTTGTTCAGAAAACTAGAAGGAAATCAATAAGAGAGCTGTAGCTCAGAAGCTGTTTGGAAACTGTGTCTACAGAGCGGAACACCTCCCCCCACCCCCCATCTAAGCCTCTCCTGGGCGAAGGCAGTGTGAAGTGTCTTAGCCCGTGCCTCCCCGAGCCCTGAGCCAGGATGAGCCAGCGTGTGACAAGGGTGGGTCTGGCCAGCAGCCAGCCTGGACGCGCGGCTGCCCCAGAGCTGGGGCCTGATGGAGGGCTGCCTGGAGGAGGCCCCTCTCCAGAGCTAGAAGGTGGAGGGTGCAGGCCGACCTCGGGGCTCTGCCAGGCCAGCTTTGGAGACATCTCCCACCTAACCTGCAAGTCGCAAAAATCTGGGTCTTCCCAGGGGTCCATAAATGCAGTCAAGCGGCTGAGTTCCTCTCTTAAAGCTGGGGAAGCCTGAGGCCCTGGATGGGAGGAGCCAAGTCCTGACGGATCAGCACCCTGCCAACACCCCTGAAGACCACCTGTGTCCCCGAGGGCTCATCCAACACTGACGGCCACCAGGGAAGGGGCTCTGGTGTCTTCCAGAAGGTGTCCTGAGTGCTCAGGGAGGCCTCGGCCCACCTACAGCCAGAGGACAGGCCGAGGCTTGGCCGGTGAGCTTTGGCCCTTGAGCAGGCCGCTCCTCTAATCTGCACAGGTGGGCTGCCCCACACGCAGGCCTGGGTGTCAGAAACCAGCAGAGCTGGGGGTGTGAGTGCAGATGTGCCCCCCGCCCACCTCCACCCCGGGCTCTCCCACGTCCCCAGAACCGCGCTCTCTCCCCTGGCCTTTCCGGATGGCTCTCCGTCCTGGCAGGTGGTCTCGCAGCCTGGCGCCCGGTTCAGCCTGGGAGCTGCTCCCCTCCCAGCTGCTCCAGACTGTTCTCTCTCAAATCCGTGACTTCCACATCCATCCTGGGCCAGCCGGCCTCCAGACACTTCCCACATAACCCTTCACCTTCCTGCCTCTTGAACTCTGTGGAACAGGGGCCCTTTCAGGTGCCTTCTGGAAGCAGTGGACCCAACATCCAGAAGAATGCAGAGCCCACTGCAGTTGACGTCATGCCAGCGCCTGGTCCTCGGCCTACCGTCGGGTGACCACCCTCACGGCCAGCGGCAGGTGGCTATTCTGAATGGCGGTTCTGCCCTCGGGGGTCCAGGCTTCCGGAGCCTCCCACATGTGCCAGCACATGCAGGCACAATGACACGGCAATGTCACGGGTCTGTGTGTCACCACAGGCCCTGCACTGTCTCCTCAGGAGTCTCATCTGTCTCGGGGACATGCCGGGTCAGCCTCGGGGACACGCCAGGTCTTCCATTAGCGGGCCACCGGCTGGGCCATCTCCGAGAGCACAGCCAGCGAGTCGCACAGGATCCTTCTGGTGAGCTGGCTGGAGACCAAATCCACCACCTCAGCTCTCTCCATGCCGGGTGCGTCCACCCAGCGGCCTGCGCCCAAAGCAGGAGCCGGGTCGCCCTGCCCGGTGCCAGACGGCCCCGTACCTCCAGCCGCCAACAACACTGGCAGACCCTCCCCGGCCTCGGAGGCCACTCTGGATGGGCTTGGGGGCTGCACTGGCAGCCTTGGGAGCCCCGCCACGGCATCACCTGCCCCCCCACACAAGGGGGACCCTAGCCAGCGAGCTGGCTCAGACCACTGGCTGCCCACAGCCTGGGCTCCCCCATCACAACACGATTCACCCAATTTGTCCCTAAGGCTTCCACCCTGTCTGCCCACCTCCAGGCAGAGCCCTGATTCCTGGGGCCCCGGGGACAGCGGCTCAGGCAGGCCCTCCTCAGACAAGGAGGGCAACTCCCCAGTTTTGATGGAGGCGTCCTCCCCGGGGGAGCCCAGCGAGCCCCCAGGAGACAGGGCATCTTCAGGTGGGGGAGGGAAGTCTTCTGAGTGGAGGCTGGTGGCGTTGGCCTCCCTCTCTGCTGGGAGGGTAGGAGGCAGAGGAGGGAGGCTGGCGTCCCTGTGGGTGGAGGATGGAAGGTCGGCACTGCCGTAGGACAGCACGTCGTCCACGGGGGACAGGATCTCAGGCAAGACCCCATTGGCCAGGGTGGAGCAGGCTTCCAGGGAGTCTCCCCTCCCCCTACACCCAGGCGCCCAGCCCTCGGGCGTCCGGGCTACCAGATCGCCAGCGTCCCTAGGAGGAGCCCGCAGGTTCACGGGGACTTCAGGCTCAGACCAGGCCTGTTGGGGTTTCCCGTCATTGGATAGTCTCAGGTCAGCGTCCCCGGGCCCCTGTGGGCAGCCATCTGAGGCCTGCAGAGGCCCAGTGTCTCCTCCTCCACCAAAATCCACCGCTTCGGATGCCAAGGACCCCGAGGGAGAGGAAAGGGGCAGGTCTAAGTCACTGGAGGAAGATTTGGATGGGAGTGCCATGCAGGCAGCCTCCCGTGACACCTGTTTGGCTCTTCCTGTATTTAATCCACTGATCAGGCTCCCACTGGTTCCAGAAGCTTCCTGCCCCTCCCCAAGGCCCAAGGAAGGAGGTGCAGAGCAGGGCGCCCCGCCACTTTCCAGGTGGGATGAGCCTCCCGCAGGGGAGGAGCGCCCCGAGGCTGGCTCAGCACCAGTGCCTGGCTCCAGCAGGTTCTCCTCGTCCCAGAGCTCGCTGGACGCCTCTGACAGCTCTGACCCTGACCTCGAAGAGGGGGCATCCGGGAGAGGCAGCAGCCAGCCTGCCTGCTGGGGGCCTCCGCCTGGCTCTGGGCCTCCTGCGTCCACGGGGGAGCCGCGCCGGGGACCGGCCCCGCTGCCCTCCACCCTCTCCCGGGCCACCTGCCCCCCGCCGTGGTGGAGCCCCCAGGAGTCCTGAGGAGAGAACTCCCCAGACCAGCCAGGGTCTGCGTCGGGGGAGTCGGGAGGGTCCCCAGCTTCCCAGTCTGACAGGGAAAGCTGTACCAGAGTGGCAGACACCTTCTGAAACCCCTGAAGAGAGCGGCAGGATGGCCCGCTCACAGAGGAGGAGGCACGGGACCCCAAGCAGCTCCGGGGAGCGGACTCAGACTCAGACTCGGGGCCCAGCTCCAGGGGGCTGCCCGCACGTGGGCTGGGTGGCGCGGGAGCTGCAGAGAGAGGGGGTTTGGGGGTGAGGCCCACAGTCCTCACACTCTGTCACCCCTGCGGCGAGGGCCAAGCGGCAGCCCGCACCCCACGGCCCCTAAGCCAGGGGCCCCAAACCAGAAAAGCCCAGACAGGCGGAAGAAATGCCCACAGCGTCAGCGCGGCTGAGCCCCCGACCACACCCAGCACCACACGGAAGGGAATCACGTCTGGACATGTCCAGCCTCAGAGCTGCCGCTGCCTGCAGAGACTGAGAGGCTGGCCCTGACTGAGGAGCCAGTCTTGGATGACCCTTAAGTGAGGATTTGCTGTTCCTTGTGCAAGGCGGGGCCTTTGCGGGGGGTGGGGGGGATCACCTGGAGCAGCGGTCGGCGGGGCGGCTTCCGGCCGAGAGAAGGGGTCGCAGGGGTCCTCCTGCCAACAGCTCTCTATCCTGCAGGCATATTTGTGGGCATGTCCTGGGGGCTCCCTGGAGAGGGCCCCATCCCCCCAGCCTCCTTCTCACAGCTCAGGGCCTCTGCAGGGCCTTCAACTACCTCATAAGCTTGACAACCGGCCTGCCAGGCATCTGCCCCACTAGGGAGGGACCGCCAGAGCACAGGACTCCCCGGGTGGGGGCAAGGGGCCCTGTGTTTAGGGGTTCTGGCCTCAGTCCCTGCTGGATCAGGTCTCTGGGGGTGTTGCCATCTGAGAGGCTTGGAGGCTCAGAGGCCCTGGAAGGGCCCCTCCTGCTGCCCCCACCCCTGGGTCTTGGGCCGATTCACCAGGTGACATCTTTGTTTCCACAGAGGGAGTCAGACTCAGGAGGGCATGGGGAGGGCTAGGGGTGCACAGGGGGCCCAGGCCAGGACAAGGGGCGCCAGGAGGGAGTGAGGATCTCTCCGGGAGAGGACAGGCATCTCCATGTCCCAGAGCCCTGACTCCTGCCCAAGGGTCCCGCCGGCCCAGGCAGCTCTCCAAACCTCACACCTCTGTTCCCCTGACGGCCAGCTTTCCATCTGCTGGACCTCTTCCCTGGGGCTGTTGGCAAAATCCAGCCCCAATTCCGACCCTGCTGGGCTCATGCTGCCTTCAGCCACCTGCTGGAAATGTGTTGGAAGACCACAGCCGGGTTGTGGCGTTGGTCCGTGGATAAAGCTGCTGTGCTCCTGTGACTCCAGTAAGGAACAAAGACCATCCCCTTAAAGATGGCCCTGGAGACCCCCTTTTACCAGATTACCCGCCCCCTGTGGACTCCAAAGACCCTTCAATGGACGAATCCACCTGGGAAGGGCCAAACAGGCCCCATCCCAACCAAACCCTCATCTGGTGGAAAGGGTGACACCCCCATCCAAAGCCACATGGTAGAACCCAACAAAGCAAGGCCAGGCCTCCACTCTGCCTGCAGAGGGTGCAGGGCCAAGCCTCGACTCACGCTGGCTTCCGGGGGGCTGCAGGGACCCCCTCTGCCCAGGGAGTGCCGGTCCTGGAGTTTCTGTGCACGGCTTTCCATCAGAGGCCGGGTCTTCTCCTCCGAGGACAAGGGCTGGGGGTTGGGCTGGGGGTCTCCTGTGAGGCAAAGGGACCGTGAGCATTGACGGGCACGGGCCGCAGGACGTGGACGGCACAGTGTCCAGGAATTCTGAAGCCACGTGAAACACTCAGCCTCGGGAAACGGGCCCACCACCTGAACTGGCCCCCGTAGAGAGAGGGGGAGACTGAGGACAGGGAGGAGCACCCCTCGCCGGACCACCCACACTGCCCAGACAGGCCCACTGAACCCAGACATGGAGGGAGAGGTGGGGGATGGCCCGGTCGCACTGCTCGGGCGAGGCTCGCCAGGATGCAGGCCTTTCTGACCTCAACCCGGTGCTGCCCCAAGTGGCTGGGCCCACTGACAGGATGACCGTTGGTCCTCGGCTGCCTTGCCTGGTTACCTTGGCTCACGGGGCTCTGGCTCTCCGCCAGCCGGCCCCCAGCGTCAGGCCAGCTGCGGGCCACAGGCGTGTCCTCTCCACACACCCGCCTTGGAAGCAGCTGGGGACTATCTGTGGCTGAAGTGGCCTGGGGCGGGGTCCCGTCCTCCTGCCTGGTGGGAAGGCTGCAAGGCAGTGAGTGCAGAGGGCCTGTGACCGTCTGTCCGGGCTGTGCCCTCCCCGGGTGATGAGCCCTGACCGGACACTCCCCGAGGGGGACAGCATGCGTCCAGGGCACAGCTGTGGACGGTGGCCGAGGGGGCAGTGCGCGGGGGAGGGAAAACAGGGCCCGGGCCCTGCCCACCAGGCATCTTCCCAAGTGGGGGCCATTGCCCCCAGATGGGGCCATTGCTGGGGGCTGACAGGGCACAGGGCTGGGGCGGGAGGGAGGTGTCTGTCCTCCAGCACAGGGTGTTCTGTCAAGATTTCTGCATGGAGACCGGCCACTGGACAGACCTGAGCTCTGGGATGCCCAGCAGGTCGGAGGCCTGGATGCCACACGCCCAGACCCACTGCCATGCTCTGGGCACACAGACCGGCATCAAGAACCCCCCTCCCCCATCATCACAGCCTCAAGGAGGCAGCTGGGGGGCAAGGCAGACCCCTGGACTGAAGGTCAGTGTGGTGCGGAGGCCTGCTGGGACACGGCCACCACTCTCTGGCTTGCTTTGCTTCTGTTCACTACAACTGGGCACAGCAGGCTGCCCCGCCAGGGTGGCCCCGAGCGTCTCCCCCGAGGCGGTCACACCCACATCGGGAGTGTGAACAGGGAGTGGGGTCATAGGGCCATCCCTAGTGCCTGTAATCTTGAGCCTTTTTGAAGGAGGAGACAACTCAGGGGCTGGAGCTCTGACTCTGGGGCAAGGCCTGGGAGGCAGCTGTCCACACCGGGGTGTCCCAGACACAGGCCCCTGCCTGGCCCCAGGAGCAAGGACGCAGAGGACAGAGCAAGGGGGCTGCTGCACCTAAGCCCATCACCCACCCCTCAGTGCCGCCTCGGGAGTAGGACAGGCTAAATAACCCGGAACGGGAGCCCCCTTGCCCGTTAAAAGGCTCATCGTCCCTCCCACCCCCTCCCCACACCCAGGGTCTCAGGCCAGGAGCCCTGGGGGGCGCTGAGTGAGGGGAGTGGCCCACGGGCACTAGCTCAAGGATGCACCTGGGCCCTGACCCACTCCGAGCTCTGCTGAGCTCCCCTTGTCGGAGCAAAAGAATGAAGTACCTCTGTTCTCTGCGTGGCGTGACCTCCAGCAAAAAGTCAAACATCTCTCTCAGTGAGGGAGAGAGTGGTTATAAAATCCGAAATTTTTCCTTCTTTGTACCCAGCTTCTCTGTTCCCTGACCCTCCAACAGTGACTATTGCCTCACTGGTGTGATGAGAAAAGCAAAGGAGGCCTCGCCCCCTAGGAGGACGGCTGGCTCCCACGGGGGCCCAGGCCTGCCCCCCGCCTGCGCTCACGGCCCCGCCCACACAGCCTTCCCAACGATCCCGGCTACAGGGAGGGTGCAGTCAGCCTGGAAGCCTCTTCAGAGATCCCCGGGCCTGGCAATCCATAGCAACGTGAAGGGTAGATCAGTCCATGCTGAGACTGATTTGAGATGGGCTCTCACAGGGAAGCCAAGTGGGGCTCATGGCTGGGCAGCTGAGTGGGCCATGACCCCCTTGTGCAGTGGAGGCCTACAAAAGGTCCCGCCACGTGGGAAGAGGGCTGCCGGAGGCGCCGGGGCTCCCACAGGCAGGCCGGGGTCCCTGTGAAGGCCGCTCCTGGCGGGGGACGATGAGCCCCTCCCGGCGTGGGGGCTGCCTCCTGCGTCCTCACCCCCAGACTGCTGTGATTAGTCTGCCTGGTGGGCCCACAGCCCTGGGGCCATTTTATTTAAGACAGAAGGGAAGGAGGCATTCCCAGTGTAGGGATGGACAACACTCCTGATGGGAAAAGTAGCTCCCTCTCCCGCACAGCAGGGCTCCGTGTCAGGTGGCACTGGGCATCGGTCGCCCCCGCCGCCCCCTCGGTGACTCAGCCTGGGCAGGGCCCCTCTCGTCGGCCAGGAGAGGCCCTTTTGCTGCAGAACGAAGCCAGCGGCCACGTGGCCAGCCTGTGAGAGAAGGCTCAGCCGCCTCAGCGGGCAGGACAGCCCCACGCCGGCCTTGGAGGGGCTCCTGGCAGCTGGGGGGGCCACACTGCCCCCGAGCAAGGCCCGTCTACTTGCTTTGTCTCACTGCTCCCTGCATAGCCCGGGGATGGTGGCAGCCCTGTCTCCGTTTCACAGATGAGGAAGCGGGCTCAGGAAGGGAGGGCACCCCAGGGCCACACCATAGCCAGCAGCCCCGCTAGGAACGAACCAGCGCTGTGCTCCTCCCGCTGGGCCAGGGCCGCTCTGGCCTCTGCCCACATCCCCATGGGCCAGCCAGCGGGAGCAGGGCCCCCTCGGGGTCCCCAGGGCCGCCCTCCCCTCAGCAGGGCTGAGAGGTGCAGGGCCCGGCAGCCATGAGCACAGGGGCCACTCAGCACGGGAAAGGCTTTTAATGGTGAGCATGGGGCCAGGACTGCCGGTGACAACTCACTGTTGGGCGCCTGGGCTCTCAGGGCTTCTCCAGAGGTTGGGGCTGGTGGGGCTGCCAGGCCCAGGTGGTGTCGAGGGGCACGAGGAGCCCTGTGCCGGCCCCTCCGTCTGAGCAGGCTTGACTTCGGGGCCAGACCTCTGAGAAATAGCACAAGGGAGCCGTGTGACACACACCTGTCTCACCTGCTCTCAGGCAAAGCAGGGGGCAGGCTTCACGTGGCGAGGCCGCTGGTCGCCCAGTGTGTGGTACTGAAGCAGGTGTTCTCAGCAGCTCAAACAGGTGGTTCTACCCTCCCAGCAGCCCTGCATCCTGTGCTAATCACCCCCAGACAGGTGCAGACATAAGGCCCAGGGCTGGGGATTCCTTGCCCGAGGCTGTCACCTGTCCTGCAGGTCGGCCTGGGGCAGGGCGCACACCACCCGGCTGCTCATCCCGCAGTGTGACTGCTAACCCATAGAACCCAGTTCATTCCATCCTCACCCCACCAGGTGAGGCCATCAACATCCCCATCTCGACAGAAGAGACGTGCAGGCTGGGGACGGCTGCCCCGCTCCGTGTCCACACAGCCTCGTCCATGGGACAGCTGGTGGGGATGGGGATTTGGAGCAAGGACACCCCTGCTGCTTGGGGTTCCCCAAGGGGCTGCCCCCCTAGGAGCCCAGGCCACCCTTCCTTCTTGCCTCAGCCGCCACCAGCCCTGGCCCCATCCCCAGCTCTAGTCTAACCCCCCCCCTCCACTGGGCTTCTCACCTCCACCCCCGGGCCTGGAAGGGTGGCTTCCCCTACCATGGGGGGTCTGGCTCCCCTTCCAGAGCCTGACGAGGGCTGCGGTATCCAGGAAACCTCCTTGGCCCCCGCAGGAGGTGGCCGCCCCTCCTGTCCTCCCGCTGCATCTCTCCCCAGGCCTTCCCCGCTGTGGGTCGCAGGCATATTGACGGGGGTCCTGCACTGTCCCACGGAGCAGCCAGGGGACAGGTGACAAGCCTCCAGCCTGGGGAGCGCGCCCACCTGAGGCGGCCTGGTTCGGGCCTCGAGCTCCTGCTGCAGGTGCGCCAGGGCCGTCTGCAGGCAGAGGATGTCCCTCTGATGCTGTAGGAGCAGCTTCCTCTCCTTGTGGGAGAACAGGTGAGTGTTCCGCAGGCATCGGATTTCTCTCTGAACCAGACAGAGGAGGCGTCAGCCAAACCCCCAACCCCACACAAAGAGACACCCACGTGATGAGCGGGAAAAAGGGGTGTCTGAGGGGGCAGCCCAGCTCCTGCGGGGCCTTCCCTGAGCCCCTCCAGGTGCCCTTCTCATCCTGCTCCAGCAAGTTCGCCCCCCATGGGTTTGGCCAACAGGAGGCTTAGCAGGAGGCGGGAGGGAAGGTAGGGTGTTGTTCCCTGGGCCCCCAGGGCTGGATTGGGGCAGGCTGGCTGCACCTCTGCCCTCCCCCACTCAGCCCTCCTTCTCTCCAGGCTCTGGGCACTGCCCCCACCCCCTGGACTCGTCCCTTCATTAAACTGTCCACAGGTGTCCTCTGGTCCCTGCTTTGTCTCTGAAGGCACACCCCTTGGCAGAGCCACCTGGTCCGGAGCACATGCTCGGGTCTTTGCACACCCACCCCGGGAGGGGGCAGCCTTTATAGGTCAGAAGAGGAAACTAAGGCTGGGCAGAGCTGGGCCCCCTGCTCAAGCCCCAGGGGTCAGGGGCTCAGACCACCTGGTTCACCACTTCATTGCCATGTGATAACTGGAGCCCCTTCTCAGCCCCCTTCACAGCTCACGGCCATGCTGTCACCCCATTTTTCTGTCTGGGTCTGCTCCCGTTGGCCCCTCTGCCTGGAATCCCCAAATCCCCCACCCCACCTCCTTGGCCCATACAGGCCGTCTGGAGGGAGGGTTTCTGTCAACCCAGCCCCACCCCTCACTGCCCCTCTGCGGGTCCCTGAACAAGGCAAGCCCCCTACACTGAGCCTCAGTTTCTTCATCTGCATAAAGGGGGCTAACATGGGTCCCACCACACAGCGGCCCCTGGACACTGGGCTCGGAGCACCTAGTGAGCCCCTCTGTGGTCGTGCACACCCCCCCTGGCCAGTGCCGGCCGCGCTGACGCTCCTGCAGCCCCTGCAGCAGACAATGCTGTCATTCTCCCGTTGGCGAGGCTCCAGGAGGCCACGGGGGCAGGACGGCAGGGCCACACGGCATCCAGGCCACGCTGCCCCCTCTGGCCACCGGATGCTCCCCTTGCACCACGGGGTCCTGAGCCCCCTGGGAGGGTGGTGACGGCTGGGGAATTATCATGGTGTGGTGCAGAATGCTCACACACCAGTCAGGAGCGCGGCAGGACCAACTCGGTGCTGGTCACCTGCCCACCCCTCGGGGCTGTGCTGGCCCTTACCTGCTCCTGCTCAAGGCTGCTGAGGGCCTGCAGCTGCCTCTCCACCAAGGCTGCCGGCACCGTGGGGCTCCCCTTGCTGCCCAGACACCTGAGGGAGGAGGCAGGACCCACTGCTCACCTGGCATCCACAGGTGGGTGTGGAAAACCGCAGACACGGCCAGCCCCGGCCAGTCATGTGGACCTGGGACAGCCCCCGCTCACAGCCGGGACAGGCTGGGGGAACCCGGGGGGCCTGGAGGCCCGGCCCGGGCTGTCACTCTTCCCACCTACTCTTCATGACCACTTTCGGGCCTGACAGACCGAGGGAGGGCAGCGCCTTGCACTCTGGAGCCCCAGCCCACCCAGAGGGTCCTTGGGGGGGGGGCACCATGGAACCGCACACGCACAGCCTGGCATGCTCTCCAACTGTCGGGAGGACCTTCGCTGGGGTATACTTTTTGGAAGCCAGTGAGGGACCATCAGGAAGCTCTCCATGCATCAAAATCAGTGCATCAAAATGCATGTCACGGACACAGCCCGCCCGCTCGCAGGCATTTACTTTAAGGGGAGTCTCTCCGCCTGTTCAGTGTAAGGACGCAGAGCGGGAGGCGGCTGGGGGGCCCAGCCCGGGCCGGCTACAGGAGCTGGGCGGCCAGCCCGAGCGGGACACCCTGCGAGTTGTGGCGGGCAGGGGCGCGCGGGAAGCTTTTCCTGACCCAGGGTGAAACTCAGGCTAGAGAACAGCACTTGGGTGAACTCCCAATGCGGGTCAGCAGCCATAAGCGTGTCTCCCTCAACAAGGCTGCTAAACAGGCGGGCTTCCCCGGGAGAGGCGGCACTGCGGGTGGTTTCAGTAAGTACGTATTTGTTCTTGGGGCTTCACTGCCTTAGCTAACTTCCCGCAAATACCCATCACTACCGGGATCGGTACAGTCCGTTCCCCGCAACGCGGTCCGGCCCGGGGCTCGGGGGCGGGGCCCGAACAGGGGGCGGGGCCGGGAGGCGGGAGGCGGGGCCCGAGCGGGGGCGGAACCGCGCGTGCGCTCACGCTCGCTGCTGCTCCAACCAGGCCAGCTCGGCGCACATCTTCTCCTCCAGCGCTTTCTCGCGCAGGCGCAGCAGCGCAGTCTGGTGCTGCGCGCGCAGCTCCTCCTCCCGCAGGCTCAGCTCCAGCATCTGGAGCGTGAAGTGGCCCGGGGCTCCGGCGGCGTCGGCGCTCCAGGGCCCCGCCAGGCTCCGCTGGGGCGGGGCACATCGAGCAGGCCACTCCTGGACCAGCTCGCTGGGTGGGAGCGGTGCCCAGCCCAGGGGTGGCCGCCGCCTCCAAGAAGCCCTCCTGGACTGCCCCGCCTCACTCATTCCCCCCCACCCCGTAGTGTCTCCTTTCTTGAGGCGGAGTACCCCCCTCCCAACTGTGAGCTCCCAAGGGCAGGGCGGGGTCCTGCTTGTCTTGGTCTCATGCCCAGCCCTGATCCAGGCTGAGCACTTGTTTGTGCCCAAGAGGGTTGGGGAAAGATGGCTGCCTGCCCTGAAATGTGCAGCCTGAAAGGTGGGGGCCAGCCTGCCTGAAGAACTTTGTTGAAATGCCTGCTCTCACCTACCGCCCCAGGCATGAGGAAGGGGCTTGGGCAGATGTCAGTGGGAAGGGTGGGTGATGCCTGTGGCAGGGAGTGCCTCCCGCAGCCCAGAATCTGCAGCAGAGACGCCCTGGGTGCAGGCTCTAGGAGACGTGGGCCTCAGCACTCAGCCCCTGATGGCCCAGGCAGGCAGCTGGAGGATTTGGGTCTGAAACATGCTGCCAGTGCCTCCCCTGGACCCCCCTCCCCAGGGCACCTCTCCCTGTACCTGGCGGGTGGGGTGGACCCGAGGGTAGAGCCTGGCCAGGGGCAGCTGGGAGGGAGCTTGGTCTGGTCCCACTTCCTGCGGGGGCTCTGAGGACAGAAAGCAGTTGGTGGTTGGGTCATGTGGGGGTTCCAGGGGCCTTTTCTCCAGGAGGGCCTCTCAAGGTAGGATGTCTGGGGTATTTAATACCCCCCACATACACAGCTTCACACCAGATCTTCACAAAGCCACACCAGGGGAATTTCACCATCTCCTTTGTCCCGATGCAAGGTTGTGTATGAACCCCCTGATCATATACAGGACAAGACCCAGGGTACAGGGGCCTCGGGGATGACTTAGTTCTGCTGCTTCACTTCCACAGAAGGAGAGACTGAGGCCCAGAGACAGAGAGTGACCCATCTGAGGTCTAGCACCAAGCAGGTGGGGTGACAGCAGAGCCCAAATTCCGGGCATGAGCAGCTCTCTTGCCACTGAGCACTGCTAGCTGTCCTTCAGTGCTGGGTGGGATGGAAAAAGGACTCTATAGTTTTAAAAAGTTCATTTGAGGACTTGTGCTTCCCACCAAGAGAGTAAAAGGGATTGGATTGTGGATTTATTGTCCCACTAAAAATAACTTTAAAATGCAACAAAACAAAAAAATGACACGTATATGGGTGCCTGGGTGGCTCAGTTGGTTAAGCGACTGCCTTCGGCTCAGGTCATGATCCTGGAGTCTCAGGATCGAGTCCCGCATCGGGCTTCCTGCTCAGCAGGGAGTCTGCTTCTCCTTCTGACCCTCCCCCCTCTCATGTGCTCTCTCTTCTCATTCTCTCTCTCAAATAAATAAATAAAATCTTTTAAAAAAATGACACATATACACATGTATACATATATAAATGTTCACACACACATACGAAGGAACAATTTTCCAGACACTGGACATCAGGCAATATAGCACAGTGATCCCTGAGAGACAGAAAACAGGTGAGACCCCTGATTGTCACAGCTTACTGCCTTGAGAATGTTTCCTAGGCTGCGGTGCAGGGAGGGGAAACTGAGGCAGAGCCTTGCAGACCCCTCGAAGAGAGGAGATGGAGCTGGGAGTCTAGAGAGACCCAGGCAGCTAAAACTCATGGAAGAAGGACCAGAAAGGAGAGAGCCACACAGGGAGAACCTGGAGATTTGGAGTGTCCCCCACAAGCCTTCTGTGGGAACCATGTGAGGAAGCTACCCGTGCTGGGGAGAGAAGCATCAGGAAGGAGCAGAAGGCCCAGAGTTGCACCTGTCTCCACTAGCCAGGCTGGAAAACCTCATGATCCATGGGTCTTAGGGCAGAGTCCACAGAAGCTCCTGCCTTGGTCCCAGACTGAGCCCTGCTTCATAGCCACCTGGCAATTATCAAAGCAACACCTGGAAGGATCCAGCTGCATCCAAGTAACTGTGTTCCAGAACAAAGCTCACAACTGTTTGTGGGAGCACATAAATATAGCACCCAACAAGGTAAAGTTCAAAGCGTCCAGCAGGCATGTGAAGAAGCAAGAAAGCATGACCTATAACGAGAGTAATCAATCAGTGAAACCGACCCAGATAGTAGAATGAGCCAGAGAAGGACTTTAAAAGCTTTTATAACTATATTCCCTATGTTTACTAAGTTAAGTAGAATCAGGGATGATATAAAAAAGTGTCCAAATGGAACTTTTAGAGATGAAAACCCAAATGCTTGAGAAGAAAAAGATGCTGAGTGGGATTAGTGACAAATCGGACACCGCAGAGGAGAGGAGTAATGAACTTGAAGGCACGGCAGTAGGAATTCTCCAAAAGGAAACACGGAAGAAAAAAAGAAACACACAGAAAGAACTGAAGGTGGACAAACGTCCAGGCGAGTGGAGGCAAGGTGAGGACACAGAAGACATGGTGGCCGGACATTCCCCAACACGACGAATACGATGCACCCGCAGGTACAAGGTTCACAACACACCCCGAGCACAAGAGACAGAAAGAGAAGCTACACCAAAACCCGTCATATCCAATAGCTCCAAAGCAGTAATGAAGAGAAAGCGGGAAAAGCGGCCAGAGATAAAAAGCGCCTCCTGCGTGGGAGAAGAGTGACCCCAGGTTTCTCGTCGCAAACAGGGCAAGCCAGAAGGCCAGGCAGCGTGTCAACTGGAAGGAAAAACATCCACCTGGAGTTCTACGTTCAGCAAAGGATATTTCAAAAACAAAGATGAAATGAGTTTGTCCTTAGGCTTTACAAAAGCTCAGAGAATGTGTGACCGGCACCACCAGAAATGCTAACGGAGATCCTTCAGGCAGAAGGACAGTGAAGCCAGAGACAGAATCGGGTTTACACCAACGAGATCGAGCATGGGAAATGGAGCTGTGCAGACACCTTCAGAGGGGACAGAGTGTTTCCAACAGTAAAGGAGACTCGTGGAGTTCCTGAACCGTGTAAGGTAGATGCCGACGGCAAGAACACAAAGCCCGGGAAAGGGAAGGAGAAGCACCGGGAGAGCCTGTCCGCAGGAGGAGGGGAGGCATGTGGCTGAAAGCCGGGCCCCTCTGCCTGCCCCAGGCGCGGGGTCGGACGCCTGCCGTGTGCGTGGTTTTGAGGACTCTCACCTGCAGAAGCTGACTTGTCCTCCTGACTCTGCTGTCCTTCCTGGGCACCCTGGGAGGGTGTGGCAGCGTCTCTGCCCAGGGCTGGCTGTGATCTGTGGGGGGAGAGTGCTGGAGACACAGCCCCAGCAGCCCCAGCCGCCCGCGCCTGTCCAAGGCGGCCGGCCCGCCCGCGGCTATGTTGGGAGGCTGTGGCCAGCCCCACCTGCGGCCCCACCTGGGTCTGGCGGTCGCGGTGTCCAGAGAGGTTGTCGGCTCCAGGACTCCACACACCCGTGGCCGCTCCGAAGCTGAAGCCGAAGCCGAAGCCGGTTCTGGCCCGGCCTGGGTGGAGGGTTTCTCCATAAGATGCTGCAAGAATAGGAAGGTGGGGTGTGTCGTGGAGGCCCCAACCTCAGAGGCCTCCTTTGTCCATCCTCCACATGGGGCTCACGGACCCCCTGCCCCCCAGACCGGGTTGGATGTGGCAGCGTGGGGGAGGGCGGCAGGTGCCGAGCAGACGCAGAGCAAGGCCGGGGCTGGAGCACCCCAGACTTGGGGGATCAGACGGCGGGAGCCACAGCCCTGCACCCCAGCTGCGGCAGCTACAAGCACTCAGCGGGTGTGACGCTGGGAACGAGGAGGGGCAGGGGAGAGCTGGAACCTGGGCGGGTGTGCGTGCTGCCCGCACACACAGGCGCATGTGTGTACCTGTATGTGCACATGCTCCCCGGGCTGGGGCACCCTCCTGGCAATGCCTCCCCAATGTACTGTGAGTACCTCCCAAAGTCCCCCAACCGAAGACACAGAGAAGGTTGACCACATCCAACCAGATCCCAGATGCCGGCCGCAGGGCCAGGTGCCATCTGTATTCCCCAGAACAGCGAGCGCAGGGGGCTGGGCAGAGGTGGTTCGGAGATGTGGGGCCCCTGCCCCTCCTGGCAGACCTGCCAGGGCTGTTGAGCGCCCTGCACACATCAGCTCGTGAGCTCCAACAGAGGGCCCAAGACTCAGGTGCCGACGCACCGGGACACAGGCTCAGGCGGTCATCTGTCCCCTCAGCCAGGTGCCCCCAGGTTAGTAGTGGGCCAAAACGTCCTGCTTCTGCTTTAAACTGAGCGTCTGTGTGTGGCCCGCTGAGCTGGCCTCTGGCAGGCAGCCATGCTGTCCTCTTCCAGGCTCCGGCAGGGCCCACGGTTCAGGTGGCACTGTGTCCTCTGCAACCTCCCCAACTTGACCTTCCACAAAGGCACGTGGCCCCCACGCAGCCAGAGAGCCAAATCCACCCAGGAGGGCCCCGGGCTCGGGTGGGCAGACGGGGTGGCACCGCCCCTTGGCCGGGAGTGGGGCATGCCTGGGAAGAGCCCTCGGGCCCTCAGGATGGGCCGGCTGACCTCCAGTTGGTGTTTGAAGAGCAGCTGGTCCAGGGCCTTCTGCGTCTCCCAGACCTCCAGCTCTGCCTGCTGCCGCAGAAGGGTCAGCACCCGTTCCTGTTTCTCCTGGTTCAGCTGCAGGGACGGCCCAAGCCTCAGGATTCCTGAGGGGGCCCACACGGCTGCCCCATGGCTCCCAAAAGCCCTGAGCCCCAGAGGGCAGGTGGTGCCCCACTTCTCGGAGGGATGCCCCCAAAGCCCCCCACTCAGGCCTCTCTGCTCAGCCTCTGGGGGGCGAGGGCTGCTCCCCGCTCACCCCAGCCAGGCAGGCCTACCGGGGACACAGCTGTCATCAGCCCGATAGGATGGGGGCAGGACACACCTGCAGGGACTTGAGAAAGCTTGGGGACTTCCAGGGGACGTTGGCAAGGTGCCTGGAGCGCTGACCTGCAGGAGCCACAGAGAAGGGGCAGCTGAGCGGCCTCAGCCCTCGGCCTGCAGGAGGGCAGGCGCCCGACTCCCAGCACGGCATCCAGGGAGGGCGGACGGGTGCAGCCTACGGCAGGGGGAGGCAGCTGGCTGCTGGGACTGCTCCACCTCAGCTCGGGGTTCGTGCTGCCTGACCCTCGGCCACACTCCCCCGGGAGCGATGCCCGAGTCTGCAGAGACATCGGGAGCCAAGCAGACAGACCTCCCCGGGTGACCTGGAACAAATCACTAGCCCTTCAGAGCCTCAGTGGGAAAACGAGGTGCCCCCCCCGCCCCCACTGGCGGTGAGAAGCCCGAGCACATGCGGGATGGACGGACGGCAGCTGCTGCCATGGAGTCACGGTCACAGCTGGGCAGGCCCCCAGGCGTCCCTGGGATTTCTGGGGCCGCTCCAGAGAATGAGCACGGAAAACTCAGCCTCCCCGCCAGGGTCAGGGAGTCCCCCAGGGCAGTGGAGGGGTCAGCTCGGGCTCTGCACACCATTGGTGCTCTGGGCCCCTCTGCGGCTGCCTCCATGGTTGGAGGGGTGGCTGGCTGCACCCTCCTTGGCCCGCCTCCCATCTTCTGGGCCTGGGCCTGGTAGGGGTGGGCAGAGGAGGGCGTGTGGGCTCCCTCCTGGGGCTGGTGCCCTCCTGGTGGCTCTTGTATGACCGTCGTGACTGGCCAGTGTGCAGGGAGAATGCCGTCCCCTGGATGGTGCTCCTCGTCCAGAGCAGAGTGGCCGGCTTTCCACGGCTCCAGCGGGAGCGGCTGTGGACCTCAGCGAAACCAGCCCCAGGGCATTTGCGCAGCACTGAGAAAACTCTGAAGCACCAAGGCGGGGGGAGAAGCAGGGGCTCCGGCCACCTGACGTGTGCTGAGCGTGGGGCAGCCCTTCCGTCCCGCCTCCACGGGGAATGGAGACCCACTGGGGAGAATGGCTTGAAGTGTCTCTTCTGAGCTGAAGTTCCCTCAAGAAGGAAACATCCTCCTCTGCTTTTGTTTTGTGGCCGCGGAGAGAAGCTGGAGCCAGAGAAGATGCCCAGGACCCCCCAGGCCCTGCCAGCCTGAGCGCCCACGGACCGTCCTGCGGGCACCCGGGAGGCTCGAAGGCTGGGGGAGGGGTGTTCCTCATCATCTCTGGCCCCACACGTCAGCACCCCAGACGGTCACCATGGAGACACGGGCTCCGTGGCCCTGAGCTCTGAGCTGTCCCCGAGGCGGGTGTGTCACGACAAGCGTGTTCTCAGTTATGAGGCTGAGCTCGGGGAATCAGGGCCTGAAGCTGGAAGGAGCTGACAGGACACCGCGCCCTGGGTGGGAGGGCCCCCAGCCCGGAGCTAAAGTCTCCCTGTCTGGCCTGACCGCCGGCCACCACGAGCACCACTGACATTAAATGAAAAGGAACTAAACCTAACACGCCCCCCTTCAGTCCTGCTGGCCCCGTTTCCCTGGCTCGACAGCCACCGTGGCTGACGGCTACCATACTGGATAGCCCAGAATCTAGAACATTCCCCTCCTTCCAGAAGGTCCCACCAGACAACATGGTCTCGAAAGTAAGTACTATCGAGTGATGCTGGTCTAGACGTTTGTCTACTGGACAGCGCTGCCCCCAGCAGGAAAAACTGGGTCCAAACCCCTGTTCTGCCACCGATTGGCTCAAGGTGATGGTGTCTCTTTGAACACCAGGCTCCTCCATAAGCAGGGGCATGAGGATGGGACCCCCCCAGGTCGCTGAGACCGGCGAGACCCACGTGTGCACACAGTCCCTGGCCCCGGCACTCAGGACGCTCAGGAGTGCTTCTCCTCCAGAGCAGAATGGCCCGGCTTTCCATGGGTCGAGCAGCTGGCTCACTCACTCTTGGCAAACATTTCCCAGGCACACGCACATGGTGGGCCGCGGCTGGAACTGCAGTGAGAGCCAGACCCTCAGGTGCTCACGGCCCACAGAGCAAGCTACGACCGGGTAAGCGGCAGGACCCGGCCCAGACCAAGTGTTATCTGGGAGGCTTCCTGGAGGAGGTGTCAGATGAAAGCCCAGCACACACACTCTGGGTGTGCTCGTTGCTTGGTCTCTGGCTACCTGAGATCCTGCTCTCAGCCACTCTAGGCGGGGGCAGCTCAGATTTCAAATGGGTCCTGGGGGCTGCCTGCAGCCTCAGGGTAAAGAGATCCTGCCAGAGAATTTCAGCACAGAGATAGGCCCTGCCCCACTGACAGTGTAAGGAGGGACACAGGAGGGACCAAGAAGCTGGGGTGAGCCTCCACCCCGTTGTCCATCCTGGTCCCGCCCTCCTGGAGAGACAGCCTGGAGGCCGAGCCAGGGAGAGGAGCAGGTTTTTCCGGAAGGCTCAGGTTCAGCCTGTGGAAGCTGCCGGGTCCCCTGGCCAACAGCTCCTCCTAGACCAGACTCCGAGGCTCCCGGAGGGCTATTCATGGACATGGCACGGGGCAGGGGACTGGGACAGCTCTGCCCTGTCTCCTTTCTCTGGAAGGCATGGCCAGTGTGGGGTGGGAGCCCTCAGGACCCCGAGGCCCCACAGCAGGTGGCATGGAGCCCCCTCTAACTCTGCCCAGCCCCTCGCCCAGCTGAGAGGGGCCTGCGGGGAGGGGCAGCTCTGCAGGAGGGCCTGTCCTTGCCCTGGAGCCCAGGCGACCCACTGACCACCGCCCCCCTGAATGAGTCCATGAGGAAGCTCACCCCTGGTTGTGGGAGTCCACAATGCAGCTATTTTGTCCTTCCAACCAGTGACTGATGGTTTTCCCCTTGGGATGCAGAGAGGGTCCCCTTCTCTGCCCTAGCTCCGCTCTCATGCCCCTCCCCGTGGGCTCCAGGCAGGGCTGCCTGCCCCCCGCAGATGTCGACCCCCCACATGGGCAGACACCACGCAGGGAGTGCAAGTGGGGGGGGGGCACGTGCGCCGGGCATCCCAGGAGGGCCGGAGGGACGGGGCACTGCTAACCAGCAGCAGTAAAAGTTGAGAGCCCCGCAGTGGCTGTCCTCAGAGACACGTGCCTTCTGCCTCAACTCCGAGCTTCACGTCACCCCATTCGACAGTCGAGAGGCGGGGGCCACCTGTGTTCTCCCAGCTTTCGGGAACATAAATCTGTGCCCCGGTTCCTGGGAGCCAGGACCCCAGGTGTGGAGGTGATGGACGGGGGGGCCATCTCCACTGTTCCCTGAAGCCACTGAAGCCAGTGCCTCCGGGGTCTTCACCCCAACCTCACTGCAGGGACGGCAGCGCTCACTCCTGCCGGAGCCTCTCAGGGGGGCCTCTGGTGCCGGGGCCCCCACCGTGGACGTCCCTCCCAAGAGCAAGGAGCCACTCCGGCTGCTCGGCCCTGCAGGCATGGTCAATGGGGCCGAGGACTAAAGAGAGGGCTGCCCACTCTGGAGGGAAGGCCAGAGCCTGACCCCCTTTGCAGGATCCTGGCCAGGAGGCAGCCACCCCCAAGCGACTAGGACTCACTCTTGACCCTCACAGCAGCCAGCCATCCCCCAGCTCAGCCAGCCTTCCAGAAGGGCAGCAGGGGATGGACCGAGTGCTGGCAACTGCATCCAAGCCCTAATCCCGGCTCATCCCTGGGTGCCCCTGGGCCTCCCACTGCCCCTCTCTGGGCCACACTTTCTGGGACTGGAAACACGGTGGAAACCTCTACCCGGAAGCTGGTCATGAATCCTTGTCACTTATCGCTCGGAACCTGACATGCTGTGTGCCCTGCCTTGAGCATCTTCTGTTGCCTCCCCCACTAAAAGCAGGTGCCTCCAGGGCTGGGCCTGATCTCGGGCACCAGGCGCAGCAGGTGCTCAGTGGATATAAGTTGTAAGAGCAGGAAGAGGAGCAAATAAATGAATTAGCAGGCTGCTAAGGCTCCTGGTGCCTCGGGAGATGGGGAGACGCGGGGCCAGGTGTGAGGCTCCCCAGCAGCCCCCACCACAGGCTGGAGAGTCCCCCAGAGCACGAGGCAGGGGAGGTGGGAGAGACTGGTCACAGGATGAGGATGGCACAGAACCCCACCCCCACCCCCAGGGGGCCGCCTTCTACACACATCCCCAGCCGCTGTGCCAGGACCCTCCAGCTGCCCCTCCCTGAGTGGAGCACCCCCACAGCCCACCCATCCCCTCAGCGCACCAGGCAGGGCACCGCCCCACGCACCCCTGCACCCCCCGCTCTGCACCAGCCCTGTGGTCCTGAGCAAGTCTCCTCATCTGAAACCCAGGACAAAACCCTTCAGAAGCAAAAGGAAAGGCAGAAGCCTGGGCCCGCGGGTGCTCGAGGAAGAGGTCCGGGAGCAGGGCCGCCAATGGCCCCCACTGGACCAAGTATCAGTCACAACAGAGGCATGGCAAGAGCACATAGCAAGCGGCTGGGTCCCGAAAGCCTCCAAAAAACTTTAATACTGATGCATGGACGCTCTCCACATAGAAAAGGATCTCTCTACACCCGCAGGACCGCGCGGGAGCATCAGGCAGTGGAGGGGGTCCCCAGCGGACCTCCCCGGCCACCCGGCCAGCCAGCCCAGGGCCCATCCGCAGGCTCGCCCTTACCGCAGCCTCGCGCGGTCCAGGGCGTGACCAAGCCCGCCGCCCCTCTGGCCGACGGCATCTCCTCCAGCTGCAGGGAGCCGCAGGTGGGGTCCAACATGGCCGGCACCCCGACTGAGCTAGGGGCACACAAACACACATGTGAGCAGAGTCGGGCAGGAATATTCATGCAGTCTGAGGCAGCTGCAGGGCTTGGGGGTGGTGACCCAGCTTCCCTCAGCCTGAACACGCAGCTCTCAGACCCACCAGGGCTCGGGCTGAAGCCAAGGACCAGAGGCCTAAGGGGGATGGGCCTGTGACCAGAGGACCAGGAGGGCAGCAGTGAGCAGGTGGCACCCACGGATGCCAACACCAGCAGTGTCCCCCAGCTTGGGGGGGCGTCATCTGTGAGCGGTAGCATGGGCTCTGCACTGGGACCCCGGGGACCAGCAGCCCTCGGGAGCTCAGACGGCTGAGCCTTGGCTTCCACCACCACTGCACTGGGACCAGAATGCCCCTTGCCTGGGAGCCCAGGCCTGCTCTGGGTCTGCTCCCGCGCCAGGCCCTTCAGGGGAAAACGGCCACTCTGGGAATGAGGGGCACAGAGCATGTTCTTCATCTCTGTCGTTCCCTCTACCATCTGCTAAGGGGCACTGCCCACCAGGCCCAGAATGGAGACATACCAGCCCTAACCCTCACCGCCACCTGCTCATGGCCCGAAACGCTGCCCCGTCCCACAGACGGAGCCTGAGCCGGCCAGGTGCCCGAGGACGCAGGGGTCACAGCCGGCCAGCTGGACTCGGAGGCCTGTCCCCGCTCAGGCCACCCTAAACCCCTGCCCTGAGGCTGGCCAGCACATGTCACTGGCAGGACTGGGAGGAAGGCGTCAGGCTGGGCCTTTCCCGAGACAGCGGTAGGCCAGGAGAGCCCCGCCCGGGACACGACCGTATGAACGGGGCGCCTGTGTCTGCAGTCACACAGCTCTGCCTCACATCACGTTTGTCCCCCTGGCGCACAGCGACTCAGGACTGCCTGAGTGACTAAGGACACACCCGCGGGCCGTGGAGACTGAACGGGGGGCATGGCCCTCCTCCAGCCACCCCAGGTGTTTGCGGAGCACCTGCTACGTGACCGCCCGGCCCCCGCCCCTGCAGCCCCTGGCCTTGCAGGGGAGACGGCTGGGAAGAGGGTCCTGGAAAGAGGGAGCAGCCCTGGGGAGGCAGTGGACGGGCTGGGGGCTGAATCCAGGTAGACCCCGGGATGGGGCGGGGGCTGCTGCGGGAGTGCGTGACCATCAGGGGACGGGAGGGGACAGGAGAGACCAGGTCGCTGCAGGGGCACTCAGCGGCTCTCCTTGAAGGGAATGCCCTCACAGCCATTGCTCAATAAGCCAGGATCGGCAAACACGTCCCATAAAGGGACACACGGCAAACATGTGGGCTTTGCAGGCCACCCAGCCTCTGCCACTGTGGACACGACTCGACTCTGCCGTGTGAGCAGGACTGCCACCCCCTCGCGTGAAGGATGAGCGTGGCTGGCTGCCCATCCAGCTTTGTCCGTGGACAGGCAGGGGCCCGCGGGCCCTGTGGACCTCGGGCCTAGACTTCCCAGGGCATTAGTTCTCAAACGATCCCAAGGACTGGCCTCGTGGACTAGGTCCAGGGGGACCGGGGTGGGCTGGGGACTCTGCATGTCTAACGAGTTCTCAGGGCACAGTCTGAGAGCACCAGACTAGAAAATGCCGGGAAGGAAGAACCTCCCACGAGCTATGTGATCCTGACATGTCACTGTGCTTCTCTGAGCCTCAGTGTTCCTGTCTGTAAAATGGGAATGAGAACACATCTCACAGAACGCTGATGGCACTGCCCAAGGTGCAGGAGGGCCCGCGGGTGGGGGCAGGAATCCCGCGGGGGCGTGCCCTCGCCCACCCTTCCTTCCCAAGAGGCTGGGCCCTTGGAGGGCGGAGCCGGCATCCTCACCGTGCTGTGCTGGGGACAGGCTGGGTCCCCAACCAGACGGAGCCCCACGGTCCCAGCAGGGAATGGACAGTGTGGGGCATGGTCCCACCCCAACTCAGAAACTGGCCTGAGAGGCATCAGGACGGGCCAGGCCCTGGGTCTGGAGAACTTGGGGGGCACCAGCTTGGGGCAGCGGAGGGAGGGCCACAAGCTAGATGAGGGGCACAGAGCTGCGAGCGGGGAGCAGCAACTGCTGTTTTGGAAGGGACAGGCCAGGCAGCTTTTCTGGACACAGAGGGGCCCGCAAAGCCCCTGGGTGCTGATCCCTGCACAGCAAGGCTGCTGGGTCGTCCAGGGCGCGACTCTGCACAGCCTGGTCAGAGCCGGGGGCGCCAGGAAGACGCAGCGCCCGGGTGTGGGGTCCCCTGGGCAGGAATGCCCGGCGGTGTGAGCTGCTGGGCCTGCGAGGCCCTGCCCGCCGTCCAGCAGGGGGACGCGCAGATGTGGGGTGTCCACCTGGAGCCTGGGCACCGGGTCAACCTCTGGGGAGTCTCCCCTCCCTGGCCTCTCCGGGTCTGGGACACAGGGGGTGGAGAACCAGCAGTCCAGCCCAATGCTGCCCCCTGCTGGCAGCCATCCTTCTGTTCCACCAACTGGACTCAAAGGGCCTGCATGAAGGGGCCCCCAAAGGCCTCAGGCCGTGCTGGGGAGGAAAGCCACGAGAAGGTGCAGGGTCTGTGGAGGGGTGGTCCTGAGCACCTAGACACGGGACACAGGACCTGGGGGGAGGACCCGCCGATCACACAGGCAAGTGTGGCAGACAGTGTCCAGCTGGGGCCGGGAGGCCGTGCAGAGGAGTGTGGGGAGGGGCGCATTTGGGGGCTGCCCCCCCATCAGCGGGGACCTTGGGTCAGGGGCCCACTGCCCACAGCCCAGCCGGAGTGGAGTCTCTGAGCCACCGTGTGGCCGGCGCCTGAGCCGGCAGGCCCTGACCCAGGTCGTGGGGCTTCTCGCGGTCGGGTCAGCAGCTGTGTCAGACCCAGACCCCTGGGCACCGGCTGTGCATTGCCGCTGGCTCGTGGCCTGGCCGGGGCGCGGGGGGTGTGGGGGGCGCGGGGGCTCACCGCCCGATGAAGGGGCCGAGGGCCTGGAAGGAAGCCGTGTTTCTTGCCAGCCTGTTATCCAGCTCCAAACGCCCGTCCTCAATGAAACCTTGGAGAGATGGACCCCAGGAGTTGGCAGGAGGGGAGGAACCCCTGGCGGGTGGGGGTGGGGACGGAGGGGGGCACCCCCAGCCCCCACGGCAAGAGGGGCCTGGTGGGCCGTGTCCACTTTCTCGCCCCTCTGTGGGAGGGCCTCACCCCTCCCCTCGCCAGGGCCAGGGTGCTGACAAGGTCTACAGCTGATGGAAGATTTAGCGCATGACCAGGCTCTGCCAGGACGGTCACCAACGTCCCCTCAGGCAGCCTGGACACCTGCCTTGGTATCGTCCTCATTATCTCCCCTTTAGGGAGAAGAAGCCGAACCCTGCCCCTCGGGGGCAGGGGTCCCCTTGGCCACTGGCGGGGCCGGTGGTCGCTCGCGGCCCGGGCCCCAGCCCTACCTCGGGGCTTGCTGTCGTAGTGGCCTCTTGGGCTGACGCTCTGTCGCCGCTCCCAGTCGGGGCTCCACGGCAGAGTCCCGCCATCCAGGAAGCAGGTAGGAGGGACCAGTGTCCTGGCCGGCAAGTCTGCCCAGTCCCAGGGGGCCCCTCTGCTCCTGTTGGGCACCAGGCCTCCAGAGCAGACCGGGGCTGTGGGCACGGTGCTGGGGCGTGAGAGCGACAGGTCTGAGACCGGGTCCCCGAGAGTGTCCGGTGCCTCCGACCTGTGCAGCTTGGCTGTGAGGATGTCAATCCGTTGCTTCAGGACGTTGGCCATGGTCTCCAGCGCCTGTAGCCGGGCCTCCTTGTGGCGGAAGTGCAGGGGCCCCGGTGTGCCCAGGTGCTCGCTCTCCTCGGGGTCCAGGTAGATGCACACGCCTGGGCGCGGGGGCCGGCTGGTCAGGTCCTGGAGCTTCCGCATGGGGGCACCATCCCAGACGTCCTGGGGGCCGTCCACCTCTAGAGTCTCAGTGCGATTCAAGGCTCTGTTCAAACACAGGCAGAAGCTGCAGGGAGAGAGGGCAGAGGGGGTCAGGTCCGGCACATGCGTCCTCTGCTGCGTGTTCAAAACACGTGTGTGCAGGGGTGAGCCTAGCGCAGCTTCTTTGAAGGAGCGCGTCCATTTACAGTGACTGTCTCTGGCCGGAGGGGTGGCTACGGGCCTCTATGCATGCAACAGGGACCACACACGGCCTGAGAAAGACCGAGTTCTGGGGTTTAACACCAAGAGCCTGGGCGACAAGAGAAAAAAAGAGCTCAACCAAAGTATTTCAAGATGCACAACTTGTGTGCATGGAAGGACACAGTCAACAGAGAAGGTGGCCTCCAGGAGGGGGGACATGATGGCAAACCCCAGATCTCATAAGGGTCAATGCCCAGACGTATGAGGAACACCTACAACTCAGCAACAACAAAAACACCACTTTTCCATAAAAAGGAAGGAATTCTGACACTGGCCACAACGTGGATGAACCTGAGAATGAGGGACCAGTCCCCAACGATGGACTCCCAGGAGGCCCGAGAGGAGTCAGATCCACACACATGGGGAGCAGGAGTGGGGGCGGGGGGATGGGAAGGAGGTTTAACAGGACAAAGTCCAGTGTGAGAAGATGACCACGTGCTGGGGACGGACAGAGGGTACGGTGCACAGCAGTGTGAACGCACGGACTGGCACTTAAAAGCAGTGAAGATGGTCAATCCATGTTATGTGTACTTCCCTACAATGTCTTTAAAATGTGGAGGGAGAGGGATGCCTGGGTGGCTCAGCCAGTGAAGCGTCTGTCTTCGGCTCAGGTCGTGGTCTCGGGGTCCTGCGATCGAGCCCCGCGTCGGGCTCCCTGCTCGGCGGGGAGCCTGCTTCTCCCTCTGCCTCTGCCCCTGCCCCCTGCTTATGCTCTCTCTGTCTCTCTCGGTCAAATAAACAAATACAATCTTCAAAAAAATAAAATACATAATCGTGAAAACAACGAAAACAAAAGAGAACAAAACAGAAAAGGAGTGTTGGCAGAGCACGGAGAGGCCGGCATCCTCCTCCGTTGCTGGGCGGGGGGATGCAAAATGATGCAGCCGGTGGGAAAACCACCTGACAGCTCCCCAAAAGTGAAACGCAAACTTCCCCTGTAGAGGTGCCCGGCGAATCCACTCCCACGTCCGTCACACGAGGTGGGTATTCAAACCATTCATTCACTGCAGCCCAGAGGGGGTGGCCCAGATGTCCACCAGCCGGCCGATGGACACAGCGTGTGGGGTGTCGTACCCCACAGTGTGACACTGTGGAGTCTTATTTGGCCGTGAAGAAGGAAGGAAGACCTGACAGCCACTGCAGCAAGGATGAACCCGGGGAACACACCCCAAGGAAGAAGCCAGACCCCAACGGCCACATCTGCGGGACTCCACTCATGGGAACAGTCCCCGCAGATGCCTCTGCGGAGGCAGAACGCAGGCGGGCTGCTGGGGAGCTGCTGAAGGGTATGGGGTTTGCTTCTGGGGTGCTGAAATGTTCTGTGAGCAGAGCGGGGGATGGCTCGATGCCCCTGCATCGAGCACTGTAAATGTGCTGTGGGAAGCGGCGCCCCCCGTGATCACCCGCTCTGGGCAGAGGGAGCCCCACCTAGCAACGGCAGCCCCCGCCGGCCTACCCACCTGCCCGGGGCCTCCTGGTCCCCCAGCACCATGCCGGAGGTCACCTTGCTCCACTCCAACACAGGCGACCCCAGGCTCCCAGGAGCTTCCAGGCCCTAAAGCAGAGGAGAGCACAGTGAGACCTCCGTCCCGGCCGGAAGACCCCGAGACGGCTCTCTTAGCCCCAGGACTAGCCCTGCCCTCTAGAGGGGCTCAGGCTGGACCCCATGGGGGCCCCCTCTCTAGGGCTGGGGCAGAGGCAGTGGGTCCCTCCTCCACCAGCCCCGGGGAGGCAGGCATCTGGGGCTGCCAGGAGCTCAGGGGCTGAGCTGGCTGGCACCGCGTCCTCACCCGGGCCCAGCTCCTACCCTGGATGGCGCACAATGCGGGAAAAAGGTCACAATGCCGGGGTTCGTCTGGGAGACCACAGGGACGGCTTTGCCGAGGACGGCCTCCCGCTGCTTCCTGTAGACTTCCTGCAGCCTCTGGTTCTTCAGCTCGAGCGCCCGCACGGCCGAGGCCTTCTCCTCCAGGGCCTGCCGCCGCCGTGCCAACGTCTTCTGGCGCATGAACTCCCGCAGCGCCTCGGTGCTGTAGCGGTGGCCCAGGGCCCCCCGGGGCTTCGGGCAGGGTGGTGGCACCCACTCCTCATCCTCCTTCCCCGGGGCACCCCTGGCGGGCCTCAGCCAGCCGTGCTCCACTCCGGAGGGCGGCAGGAGGGAGCCTCTGTCCTTGCACGGGGTGCTAGCGCCCTGCGTGAAGGAGGCGCTCTGGGACCGCTGGCCAGAAGGGCTCCAGGGTCTTCGGGCGGGGCTCTCCCAGTCTTCATGAGTGGCCCAGGTCCGCGGGGGCCTGGAGGCCTGCCCGGCCGAGGCGCTCCAGGGCCGCTGCGGCAGGGAGGTCAGCCTCTCAGGGGGGCTCCCGGGCCTCTGGAAGGAGGGGTTCCGTCCTGGGGCCGCTCTGGTCCGCTGGGGATAGGACTCCCACCCAGCCAGGGTGCTCCAGCGATGCCCAGTGGGGAAGCTGCCAGGCCTCTCTAAGGAGGAGCGCCTCCCCTCCATCCCTGCTTGAGGACTCTTGGAGAAGGAGCCCCGCACGTCTGGGGTGCTCCAGGGGCCCCACTGCCTCCTCCCCGCCGGGTCCTGCAGCCACAGCTTTGACCGCCCCAGCTCTGGCCCTCCCCTGGAGTGGCGGTGCCGGGCCAGCTCCAGCCCGGCCTGGATTTGCTGGCGGAGGTCTCTAAGGACGGCCATAGCGTTTTGGATGGTCATGGGCTGGTCGCAGGAAGCCAGGTTGGGTGCGTTGGCAGAGAGCTGCAGGTCACCTCGGAAGGAGGCTGGACTGGGCATCCGGGGGCAGACAGGGGAGCTCTCGGCAGCTCCAACTCTCTTGCTATCTCCTGCAGAGACAGGTGGTCACAGGTGTCAGGAGCCGTGGGGGCCCAGGAGGAGCAGAGCCCGCTCCCTGCCCCAGGCACCCTCAGCCCTGCTCCCAGGGAGCTCGCCCCTTGGCCCTTACAGGCATCATGGACTTGGACACTGCACCTCTGGGTGTGGGTGCCTCATATGGGTGACTCGACCTGGCACAGAGCCACCCACTCCGGACTTGGTGGAAACAGCACGACTGGGTGACGTGTGTCTCCTAGCGGAGCCCCTGCCGCTCCCATCCTGCATTCCCTACCATGGGAAAGCCTAGGTGGCCGTGCCCTGCCTCCCAGGAGCCTAAAACATGTCTCTCAGGGGCAGAAAACCTTTCTTTGGCTTTTAAATATAATGCTTTCTCCAAGTCCCGTCTGATGGCAGATCTGGAGGGCGTTGGACAGGCCGCTGGGGAGAGGTTGCTCCTGCACCCGACGCCACCACCTTCCCCTCCGCGCCCACCCCCTGATGCCCCAGCAGAGCAGGGAGGAGCACAGGCCGGGGTGCCAGCTACCTAATTCCGCGGTAGGGGCCTGGTCTCTTGAGGGAGCCTTGCTCTGGAGCCCGGGGAGGGCGGGACGGGGCCCAAGCAGGGCCCTCACCAGGGCTGGTCCTTTCCTCCAGGCGTAAACACCAACCAACTCAGAATCTTAAACAGAGAAAACGCACACACAGCGGAGCGGCCGGGGCCTTCCGAATGCGGGCCCAGACAAGGAGGTCTTTGGCCCCGGGGAGCCCACGGAGACTGCGTCACACGCTCCCAGAGGAGCTGGGGCGAGCCTCAGCCAGTGGCCAGCAAGAGGCAGGGCCGAGTCCCAGGATGACCCTGGCCGGTGACCTGACTTCTCTGACCCTGGGTAAACGGGGTAATAAAACCCGCTCCCCATGGCTTTGCCTGTAAAACCAAGGCCACGGGCCCAGGTGCACTGCACATCCTAGGTCAACGCCAGCCCACACTAGCAAGGACCGTAGTCATGAGGAGCCGCGAGTGGGAGGCTAATGCTACGCTGGCCTCTGCCCTGAGCCGGGGAAGGTCTTTGCTTTCTTGCTGCTGAGGCTCCGCCTACGAGGGGTCCCAGGGAGCACGGACACAAGCGCCCACCGCCTCCCAGCCACCAATGAGCTTTTGTTAACAAACGTTGTCGCATAAGAAACGTCATTTATCAAAGCTCTTACTTCATAATCCCAGATTACGCCCTCCAAATGCCAACACCAGCCCCACGGTCACTACAAACCAGGTTGCTGGCGGAGGCCAGAGCACCGGCCAAGCTTTAGCTCACGCACACACACGCAGACACAGAGACCCACGCATAGACTCAGACACACGCATACGCACACATGCACACAGACACACAGACACACAGACACACAGACACACACTGCATCTCCCCCAGGGCCAGCCCTGGGCAGGAAACTGGACCTCCCGGGCCAAGACCTGTCCTGCCTCCCACAAAGGGCCTTGTTTTTGCCAAGCAAGGGGCCTTACAGCAGGGACCATGCAGAAAGCCGACCCCTCGGGGCAGGCAGCCAACAGGGTCAGAGACCCCCACCACCGCCCAGACCCGGAGATAGTCACAGGCTGGAGCAGCGGCCCCAGGAAGGGGAGGGGGCTGCACAAAGCCACGCCCTTCATAGGCCACGCCTGTAGGAAGGACCTCGGCCGCTCCCCAAAGCCGAGGCCCCTGGGACACGACCCAAGGCTACACCACCTTGCAGTCTTGCCCTCCAGGACCTGTCCCCAAGGCCACCCCTCCACAAGCCACACCCCTCCAGCGAGGGCCCCTGAGGCCACGCCCTCCCACACCAGGCGCCTGGGACACCTGCAGGTAAGAGCCCGTCTAACTCTGGCTCTGTCGATGACTAGCTATGGGCCTTGGGGAGTGACTTTACTTGGTTTCCCCATCTGTGAGCACCGCCCCACGGGACCACAAACATGAAAGTGGTCACTCACTGCAGGGCTCGGGCCGGGAGGTGTCAGGATTCTGCTGGCTCCAGGCAGAGTCAAAGGCCAGGGCTGAGGCCGGCACTGCCCAGCTGGACACACTGGGGTCTTGAAAGGCACCAGTGGGGTTGGGCTCCCCAGCAAGGCTCCTCCGCCCTGGTCCCCCGACACGGCTGAACTGCACAAAATTGCCAACGTGGCTCCCTCCCTGGGGATACCACGCAGGGATTCTCCCCCTGCCCCCCGCCCCGGGCGAGAGGGCTGCCCGATGGCCAGGCCCCTCCATCACCGGTCGCTCATCCCCCATTAGCCCGCCAGAGGGGTCCGGGTCAATAAATGGGTCCTGATGGGCACATTTTTTTCTTCTGCCGAGCAGTTTAATGGCAATTAATTTTTTTACGAGAGGATTTTTAATCTGTGGAAATGGATGAAGTCCCCAAGTGCCCTGTCAGAGCCCCAGGGCCGACCTAATCTATGATAAAAAATGCAAAGTGAGGTGCTATAATCTGAAATTAAATATTGGGCTTCATTTTCCGTCGGCCCGGATGGATGAATATTTTATAACTATTGCGATTTAATTTTTTGTTAACTACAGCAAATTCCTAATTCATCCAATTCCCAAGTCCTGTGGCTCTGACCTCTGACCCCAAGCTCATCTCTCCTTAGCCCAGCTGTGACTTGGTCACTGACAGAAACTAATGGTCAAGTCCGTCAGGGTGACACGGTGGTTACGATGATGGATGCAGCCTGTGGCAAGCCCTCTGACCCAGTGTCGGGCAGAAAGCAGGTCATTTGTCAAGCGAGCCATTAAAATAAAGCTGAGGGGTAGGAGGAGACAACGATGCAGAAAACTGTGATATCTCGTGCCTTTTCCGTGGGCCTTCTGGAACCTTCTCCGTGGCTCCCAGCATCCCTCACTGTCAGGTTCGAGTGGAGGTTCTCTCTCCTCTCCAGTTGCTTCCTACCCTTGCTGAATAGATGTGTCTGCCCCAGCGGCCTGCGCTGCCCGCCTCCCTCAAGGGGCCCTGAAGCCAGCGTGGGGGAGGGAGACGGTCATGGTCCCGCCGGAGCCGGCGCTGCCCCCAGCGGAGGTGGTGGGTCTGAAGGCGCGGAGCAGAAAGACGGCGCCGGGCACGGGCAGAGCATGCGCCGCTGGGCTCTCTCGGGTGAGCCGCACAGGCCTGGAGCTCGCTCGCCCGCGTGGGCCTCTGTGAGCCTCAGCATCCCCACCTACAGGATGGGGGCCAGCCCGTCTGCGGCGGAGGAGGGCCGTGAGGGTGGCCGAGCTGGGGTCCGGGGCGTGCAGCTGCTCCGCCTCGTTCCCCACACACCACGCGGGGCCCTCCTGGGGACTGCTGGCTCCGGGGCAAGGGCGCGGCCACAAACCTATCCGGGCTGGACAGCTGGGTCTCCGCCGGACGCCGCCACCCCACCACCCGCCCAGGCCCCAGGGGAGAGACGCCCCGAGTAGAAATTCCTCCGGGACCTCAAGCCCGCCACCGTCCCCACATCTTCCTCGGACTCTCCTGGGACATGGTCGGCCAACGCGCCCCCTGCATGACGGCTCCATGTCCCCAAAGGGCTGGGAGACTGTGGACACGAGGCCAAAGGCCTTTGCTGCAACCAGGGCCTCAGTGAAGCAGGTGTTGTGGGTTTGCTGCTGGGGTCCAAATCCCAAACCAGGCAGATAGGGAAAGCCCTCCCTCCTGCAGAACCCCCCGCTGCTGAAGGCCGCTGCACGGCGGCTCCCCGGGAATGGCACAGACGCGCAGCAGACACATCTGTCCACCGGACCCTCGCAGCCGCCCTCCATCACTGCTGCGTCTTCACACGTGCGCGCAGGCTATAAATGTGTGTGAAGGCACGGTGAGTGAGCGGCCCTGTGTGCTTGGAGACCTTCGCAGTCTGGGGGCTCGGGGCTTTTGTGGGCTTTCCGTCCATCATGGGGGGTGGGCCCCCAGGGTCTGCGGTTCCCCGAGATGCGGACGCCAGCGCTGCCCTTCCCCCGTGCCCTGCAGACCCACCCCCCCTGCCCAAGCCCCTGCCGATCCCAGGTCCCCAGGCCCACAGCAGCCCAGGCCTCTGCTGTCCCCGGCACCAGAAACCATGCGCCAGAAAGCCGCGTGCCCACCTGGTGAGCTGGGTCACAGACGTTTACCCCCAGGACATGTCGTGGCCCCAAATGGGCAGACCTTACCTTTGTCTTTGGCGGCTCTTCTGGGGATGGGTGATCTGGGGGCCTTCTCCCTTTTGCAAGGACTACTTTGCATCCTTCTGGCTTTCTCCCGTGGAACTTCAGGGAGGGGAGAGGAGGAGGGAAGGTGAGCAGTCACATTCACGGGGATAGCCACGCTCGTGGACCCGGGCTCCTATGGAGCAAAGCACCTGTCCTGCCTGCTCCCTGGGTCTGTGCCAGAGCGGGTGGCTGAGTGCAGGGCCAGAGGGACACCCTGGACTGCCTGCCCCCCAGCAGGCCTGGGCCCGCCACACCCTCCTTCCGGGGCCCTGACTGGTCACAACTTCCCGGAGTGCCTGGGGCCGAGAGCCCCTGAGGACAGGAATGGCCTCCCAGCTGGGTCTGCCCTGCCCATCTCAGGCTGACCTGCAGCCCTTGTGTTGACTCAATGGGCTGTCAGGGAGCAGTGGCCAGCCAGGCTGGACAGGGGCCCAGCGGGGGGAGGTGGGATCAGAGTGAGGACCACAGGGGCTTTACATGGTGGGGTCCACCTGGCTGGACAGGAGGGGACATGGAGACCCCAAGGGGGTGGAGGTTGTCCGAGTCCCTTGGCAAGCACAGTGGGCCGGCAGGAGGGGACTAGCTTCCCGAGGCCCAGTGCTGTTTGGCCTCGGTGTCTCTGTCCACGGCCGGGGTGCAGCTGTGTTTGGGGAGCACCAAGAAGCCCACCAGCCAGTGCCGTGTGAGCAGGGCCAGCGGCGCTTGGAAAAGCCTGGCCCAAAAGGACTCTCCAGGCCTGGGCCGGTCCCTCCATCCTCGCTGCCTGGAACCTGCTGGCAGGAAGGGCCTCCAGCACCCTAATTCTGTAAGATCCACTGACACGAGGCCCTAGAGGAGTCAGACCCACAGACAAGGAGAGGGGGGCGGGGGCCAGGGGAGGGGACAGGTCTGTGTGTGACACAGAGCTCAGTCTGGGAAGATGACCATGTTATGGGGACAGACAGAGGGACGGCTGCACAACGGTGTGAACTCACGGACGCCCCTGAGCTGTGCACTTACTAGTGGTGAAGGTGGTAAATCTTATGTGTACCTTACCATAATTTAGACCTAGGCCCTGCCCCAAGCCTGCCTCCAGAGGGTTCTAACAGGAAGGATGAGACGTGGCGGTCAAGAATGGTGACCGATGACACTAGATGCTGTTGAGTCCCCGAGCGACTAGCGGCCAAATCCTGACCTTGGCTGAGGAGCCCCAGTGGCCTCCGTGGGGTGGGGGTGCTCGGGGACCTGAGGCCGTTGGGGTCCCCATGGGTGGAGGAGGAGAAGGGCAGGGTGATCGCGGTGAGCCACAGTGGGCCTGGGCACCTGGGTGGGGAGCGGCTTCCGCCCACGGCCAGGCCAGAGCTGGACGCTGCCGCCTGGGCTCGGACCGGCAGGCCCCTTGGCCCCGGCCTGCATCTGACTCCGCTCACACACCCAGCTGGGGCGGGACACGCGCCCGAAAGGTACCTGCGGCTGGTGCCCCAGGGGTCCCGGTCACATATTGACCCGACCTGACCTGCCTGGTGCCACTGCTGCCCCCTGGCCCCCCAAAGACCCCAGCAGCCTCAGGCATCCCGGGCAGCCTGACTTCTGCTCCCGAGCCCGTCCCCTTGCCCCACTCCGGGGCCTCCAAAACCTTGCTGGAATGAGGCTGCCCTTCTAGACTAGAGAGACGTCCTCCTCCCCGCTCCCCATCCTGCAAACAGTACTGGACTGCCAAAGCCCAAACCCACTGGGGCTCTCTGCTTAAAACCCTCCAAAGCAGTTCCCAGTGCCCATGGCCAGCAGTGCAATCCAGACTCTTTAAATGCTACCGCCCTCTGGCCCCCAAGCATGGCTCCTGTCTGCCTCTCCAACCTCACCCCTCCTATCTGTTGAGTGAAGGAGGAAGCCAAACCTTCCCTCAGCCCCTGGCCCCTTCCCACTGGCAAGAAGTCTGCCTACCCATGACCGAGCCCTTGGCACCTCCCAGGCCGGGGAAAGGCTCAGCCAGGCCCTGTGGCTGGTATGTGTCCACACAGTAAAGACGTCACCCATTCTGTGCAGGAGACCCCCTGCCCTTTGAGCCCCGGGCTGCCTTGCAGGGCCTGCCCACATTCCTTCCCTGAGGGGGAAGCAGAGGTTTAGAGGAGGTCCCGTTCTGGAGAATGGCAGGCCGGGTCCAAATCTGTGCCTAGCCCTTTCGTGGCGGGGGCCCTCTCTACTGTCCTCGTCTGAGTGGGATCATACTAGCGCCTGTCATATAGAGGGAGGGAAGCCGCAGTGTCCAGAACCGAGACGCGCTGACCGCCGCCTGAGGGTCCGGGCTGGGCTGCCAGGATGGCCAGCCGTGCAGCCCCTCACCTGAGGCCTGGCGCCGGGGCACCCCGGACGGCTCGCACCCCTGGCCGGGGATTGCCTTGTCTTCCACTCCACATGGAGCCACACTCAGGGCGCCTAAGCCTGGAGAGGAGCAAAAGGGGGCATCGTGAGGACAGCTTCCGGGAGGGGTTTCCAGGACAAGGCCCCCATGTAGCAGCCACTCAATAGCCTCCAAAACAGCACCTTTGACGGAGGCCCCAGGCCTGAGTGCCTCCCACGGGGCTGGAGGGGGGTTCATCGGCTTCCTGGCCTTCCTCCGGGGCTCTGACTTGGAGGCTCTGTAGAGGCGCGAGGCGCTGGACGGTGCGGAGGTGCCCAGGGAGGCGCAGCTGGCCTGCCACTGGGCCTGGGCCCGGATCTTGTCCCGCAGCTGCTCCAGCCGCGGGTTGCTCTCTCTGGGCTGCCGCCGGGGCCCCAGCACCTGGGGGGGCCTCTCCTTCCAGGGCCCGGGGGGAGATGTGCAGGACTCGTGGCCCCCAGAGGAGCCAGAGAGGCGGCCTGATGACACCGAGCTGTCCCCATCCTTGGCCTCCTCGCCTTCCGACCACACCGGGTGGCTGTGGACCTTCCCCCGGGCGCCTAGCTGCTCAGTGTGGTCGGACCAGGCCACGTGGGGAGCTCCCTGCAGGTCACCGGGCTGCTGGGAGGGCCTGGGCCACCTCAGGGCAGCCATGGCGTCATCCTCAGCCACAGGCGGACGGAGCCCGGATTCCCTGGGGACAGAGAAGCAGCCCATGAGTCTGGTGTGGAGACCTGGCTGTGCTGAGCAGAACATCTCAGACTGTGCGCCCCCCAGTACCCCTCCTGCTCCCTCACTCTCCTGTCTCAGGATGCCCATGACCGAGAAAGGTGCAGGGGGGCCAAGAAAACGCCCCCAGGCACGCCCCCTCTCCGATCGCTACCTCGAGCCTTGCAGGCAGTCACCACCATCAGCACAACTGACAGATGGGGAGACTGAGGCTCCGGAGAAGGCACGCAGCGGGGCACGCTGGCCCCCAAGTCCTCCGTCGTCACGCTGACCCGGATGCCCTCCCGGGGAAGGAGGCTGTCCCTCACAGGTCCCCGCCTGGCCCAGTGGGCAGGCACAGACACGTGCAGCCGCACAAACACTAGCTGGGTTGGCTCTAGCCCCTCAGGTGGCGGGTCTGCCCAGGGCCCTGAGGAGCCAGAGTGAGACGGGGAAGTGCCTCTGGTTATCTTTGGGGTGGGGCAGGATCATTTCTCCTGGGCCGGCAGCCAGCATCCCCATGAGCAAGGTCGACATGGCCACAGGGCCAGGTCGGGGGCAGAGCCCAGTGAGCTCCCAGTCACCACCTGCCTGGGGTCAGAAGGTGCTTTCACGGGGCAGCCCGCCGGCCTGCAGCCCGGTGTCCATCCTTGCTCAGGATGGGCTGGCCACTGCCGGCTGGTCACGGCCTAGCCCAGTCCCCTGGCCCACGATGGAAACCCTCAGGATAGTCGTGGAAACTGGGTGGGCATGGTGGGCTGCCGGGCTCTGGGCTCGCAACGGCCTGGGGGGACTTCCTAACGAGCTGCCCCGCAGCAGGGTGGGAGAGAATTCTGGGCGGCCTGTGACAGCATAATAACCCCATTGTCACTCAGCGACAGAGCCGAGGCCTTCGACTCCTGCTGGGGCCATGGACAGGCCCCCCACCATCCTCCCAGGGCATGGGAGCCTATAGCTGTGTGTGTGGTGAGTGGACTGGCCAGGGCTGGGGGCGGGCTCAGCCAGAGCCAGGGGGCCCAGTGCAGGGCTGGGGGCAGAGGTGGGGCTTGACCCCAGGCTCAAGCTTCAGTTCCGGACGGGGTCAGCCTGGGGGCCCCGGGAGAGAGGAGCCAGCCCGGACATGGTCCCAGCAGCTGGACGAGAGGTTCAGTGCTCCAGCCCGATGCCCACTGGGAACCATCTCCCAGGCCGCTGCCTTTGGCTCCTCGGGGTTGGTCAGGGGAAGCGGGCCCTGGCTTCTCATCTCTCCCTGGCAAATGCTCAGGGCACCCTTTGGCCCACGGACATACTAGCTGAAGATGCCTGAGCCCCAGGAGCCCCAGGCCTGCCTCCTTGGCCCTGCCCTCCTCAGAGAGCACCCCAGCCTGGTCCACCTGCAGTGGGGTCCTGTCACCTTCTCGCCGACCCTGGCAGGGCAGTATGGTGGGAAGGACTCGGACTCTGCAGTCAGCTGGCTCTGAGCTTGGCATGGTCCCCCGAGGAGGAGAGCTGCCCCTAGCCAGCTGAGTAACCTTGGGTGACCAGAGACCCCACCCTGCCCTGCCTCTGGGTATTGTGAGCTTCTGGTGAGTTCACTCCAGCAGGAGGGCGCTAAGCAGGGCGGCCCGTGTTCATGAGCAGTGGGATGGCTGAGCTGGCTATGAACCCTTCGTTTTCAGGATGCCTTAGAGAAAGGGGGTTTGCAGCAAAAGAGCTCCTAATTCCAGGCAGAATGGAGAGCCTCTATGAGGCTTATTCTAAGAGCCTGTCCTGGGAACCAGGGATGCCTGGAGCCAGCTGCCACTGGGACAGGACACGGGGCGGGGCCCTGAGCCCAACGGGGTCCTGGTCATAGGGACACGGCCCCACATTCAGCCACCAGCAGGAGAGAAGAGTCACCCCAGGGACAGGCCCTGCCTGGAATGTGAGGTGCTGCCCCTTCAACCCCAACAACCCACTTCTCCTGCAGTTGGGATGAGGGGAGGATGCATGTGCCTCAGACCACAGAGCCAGCAGAATCCCAAATCCAGCCTATGGCCCCAGGGCCCTCAACCACACCTGGTAGCCTAGACTGATGACACAGCTCTGCAGGCGGGTCCCCTTGCCAGTGGCACCGAGGCCACCATCCAGCTCTGGCCAGGAGTCCAGCCCTGCCCCAGCTTGCCTGCCCCACTGGGGACGTCGCCTGGTGAGGCCAAAATGCAGTGGGTCCCACCCCATGTTTCTTTATGGGATGTTTGTGAGGGGTCGGCATGGCAGAGGGCTGCCCCCGGGGTTTGGGAAAGCAGGCCCTTCCAGGAGAGCCACAGGGCACACGCGTGTTCCCGTGACGTGTTGGGGATACATGGGGCCTGCAGACGGCTTCTGCTACATGGGGGCTGGCAAGCTCGGGGGACATCACCAGGGGGTGACCACGGTGTCCCCCACACCACCCTTAGAGGCTAGACAACCGAGGAGACTCCCAGAGACAGCTCAGCCTTCCCTAGTTTACAGAGAGGCTCCCCATTCTGGAGCAGAACCCCCTGCAGCCTCCACTGAAGGACCCCGCGGTCACTGCAGCCCCCGGGCCTCCGCTGAAGGACCCCGCCTTGGCCAGGCCCTGGGGCGCCTACATCGGCTAAGGTCCTGGGGCGCATTCTCCCCAGCGTCCACCTGACGTCCTCAAGGACAGCGGGAGAGGGTCATCCTGAGCCGCGGCGGCCGGAGCCAAGCCCGCGTCTCTCTGGAGGTCAGCTGGTGGCCCCGGTTTCCCACGAGCAGGAAAGTGGTGGGTCCAGAGCCGTGGCCCTCCGCAGGAAGCAGCTGTTTCATAAACACGACAGAACAGCCGGCTGCCATACACCAGAGTCGATAAAAGCAAAATCGTGAAACGAGTGTGTGACGGTGTAAATAACCCCAGCGTCGCGGCAGCCCCGTGAGCTGTGATAAGCCCAGAGCCCCCTCCCTCTCCTCCTGCTCCACTGGCCGCACCCCGCAGGCCTGCTTTACCAGCCCCCCTCCAGACCGGCTCCCAATTGGGAGACGTGCTAGCCCCCGAGGCCTCTCCCTGCCCAGGACCCTCGATGGACCCCTGGCCCCAGCCCCCTGGCACCTACTGGGGCGACCACAGCTCTGTGAGCCGGGCCCCGGCCAGGGCCCCAAGCAGCAGTGTGGGTACCAGAGGCCACAGCGTGGGGTGGGGAACACCCGCACACAGGTCAGGCCCCCGCATCTCTACCCTAAGCAGAGGTAGGCCCAGCTGGAGGCTCCCCTGGCTGTGGCATGCACCCCCATCCTGACCCACCCCCCGCCTCCTCGCTGGCTCACAACCTACAAATGCCACCCCCACTGTGTCCTGGTGCCCACTCCTCTGCCCCCACCACGGGGGACTGGGGACAGCGGGGGGCCGGGCTGGCTCCCTGCCAGAGCCCCCAGCACGGCAAGGCCCTTTGTGGTTTTGTCTCCCTGGCAGCGGTCCTGTGGCCCAGGGTCCCGGCAGGGTCAGAAGCGGGGGCGGGTGGGGAGGGCCACAAGGGTGGGCTTCTTGGCCTGAGGCTTACTGTGGAGAGCAAGCTAAGCCTCCGCACGCCCCCCTGCCCGGCCCCTCGACATCCCAGGGGCCCGCTGCTGAGCTCAGGCAGGTTATTTGCTCATCAGTGAAGTGGGAAGAGCACCAGCCCCCACCTGGTAAGGTTTCTTCTTTGAGGGTCAGAGACACAGGGAACACAGAGGGCTCACGGGGTGGGGGGTAGCCTGGGGAGGGGGCTGACTGAGGAAGGAAAGCCAGCACACCTCTGCCCTCCCCCAGCCCACCCCGGAGCCTGGACCGCCAGCCCAGGTCCACACCACTGGCCCGTTCCGTGAGGCATCTGCCCAGTGCAGCCAGAAACCGGCTCACCAGGGCCCCTGCCCCTTGCCCCAGGGGGGTGGGGGGCAGGGGGGGCCTATCCACAGCGCCCACAGCCCACTGCACGGTGCAGACCATGCTACTGTCCTGGCCCGGGCACTGCGGGGCTGCTCCCATGGCCTGGGCTGCCTGGAGGGGTGGGGTGGGCAGAGCGGGCTGGGGGCCTTCCTCCAGGAGCAGCTTCTCACGGCTCGTCGCCCGGGCCCCCAGCCCCAAGCAGGTCGAGCAGGCTTGCGGACAGAGTCCGTGGACCGCGAAGGAGAAGGGCCCACCGTGCCCACAGCCCCGGGCCCCAGGGTTTGAGAGCAGAGACCGTGCCAGCCCCGCAGCTCGCACGGGCCTGGACGTGGCCGTGACACCGCTCAGCCTCCCGCTCAGACCCAGCCCCGGGCATTCGGTGGTCCCTCAGCGAGCACGCCCGAACCGGCCTGTACCCAGACCAGTCTGCAGCCGCCACACGCCCTGCCCGCACGCCGCCCAGCACCACGGGCCGGGGCGGGGGCTCGGAGGTCCAAAAGGAAGCACTTGGGAGGCTGACCCGGGCTCGGGTCATATCTGGGGAAATGATATGCAGGTGACAAGAGCGTCTGTCATATTGGGCCCTGCTGCACAAAAGCACACGCCTCCCGTCTGGTACACACCGGACAGACACACGGCACGCATGCACACGCGTGCACACCGCCCAGGTCTGCGGAGCGGGGCAAGCAGGGCCGGCCTGGGCTGCCGAAGGCTCTGTGTGGGAGTCTGGCCAGGGCGGTGTCCCCCAGTCTCTGCCGCCCACTTTGCCCCAACAGCCCCAGTGTCTCCACAGCCGCTCCCCAGAAGCTGATGGACTCCTGGAAGCTGGTCGGGCCCCCAGGGTGGCAGATGCGAGGGCGGGGACAAGGTGACACAGAGCCAGCGATTTGGGAAGACAGTTGGCCGTTGGGAGGAGGGCGCCATCAGGGAAGCCAGATGGAAGCCCTGGTGGGCGAGGTGGGGCAGAGATAAACCCCGCAGACCGGCCTCGAGCAGCGGGCTCTGCGGGCAGAGGAATGAAATGAAGGCTGTCCACACCCCCATGGCCTCTCGGCTCTGGCAAACCCCCCACCCCCGGCTACACAACCAAGACCCATGGCACCGCCGCCCATGAAACCCACTGCGCAGGGAACCCCGGAGCCACCATCCACTGCTGCCAAGAGGGTCTCACGGCCACACCCACAGAGAGGTCAGAAGGGAGCTCCGCCGGCCCCCAGGCCCTGCCACCTCCTCGTCCCCCCGCCCCGCACGGCCACCCTCAGGCCCGCTGGGTCACTTGTGGAGACCGCTTGGGGCACCTGCCAGGGGCCAGGCCCTGCGCCCAGGGCGTTCCCCAGGCAACCTGGGGCTCCTCCCCAAGCCGTGAGGAGGGCATTGTCACCTTGCCCACAGTCACACAACACAGAATAGACACCTGCCCTCAGCACCACCTCCTCCAAACCGGGAGCGAGCAGAGTAGACCGGGGACTCTGAGAAAGGACACCCCAGGGACCAAAACCATCTTCACACAGCTCAGAACAGTTAACTCAGGGCCAGGGGTCTCCTACCGCTGCCTCACCCTGCAACTGCACTCCTGGATGGGAGCCCTCCAGCAGGACCGGACGGCCTGAGGGGCCCTTTGTCCAGGGAGTTAGCTGGACGGGGTCCAGGCTGAGCCAGCCTCATTGTCAGATGATGGCCTTGCCAGGTGGAACCAATGCAGAACCACCCATCAGCCCAATCCGGGCGCTGGAAGAGTATTTATCACCCCCCGTACACACGGGGAAACTGAGGCACAGTTCATCAGGGGAGAGTCTAGGGCTGGCCTTACAGCAGCACCAGGGCCCAGAGGCAGGGCAGCTCGGGGGGTAGGGCTCGTGGGCATCGCACGCCCGGGCAGCCTGGCTTTGCCCCTGAGGAGCCCCCAAGCCCCCAGAGGCAGCCCCCAGGCAGGAAGACCCCTCCTCAGGCAGGACAGAGAAGGATGGCTACCCTGCACTCAGCCACGTCCATGGAAGAAGGAAAAGCTGTCCCCTTCCCAACCCGCCCGTGCCCCCACGCACCCTCCCCCAGGGTCCTGGGGCAGGCCAGCCGGGCTCAGGTAGGGCCCCCCAGGGTACTCACCAGCTGGCAGGCCCCAGACCTCCGTCTGCGGGGAGGGCGCCAGGCGGGGGCCGTGGCTCGAAGGCCCGCTGCCAGCAGAGCACAGACACGGGGCACTCTCACCTCCAGGTGCGCGGGAGGTCGGGCAGGAGGCTGGGACGCCTGCCCTGATGTTGCCAGAGAAACCCAGGCGTCCATCGTGCAGGCTCCTCCTCCGGGCTGGCTTCCGGGAACCCGGTGGGGGCGGGGGAGCAGAGCCTCACCTGCACATCCAGCCCACCTGGGCAGGGGACACACACCCGGGGCGCTCGTCCCCATGGCAGTGGGGGCAGGGCAGGAGGCGGGCAGGAGGCAGGTACGCTCTGGCAGGAAAGGAGGATCTCCAGAGCGGTCCAGAGCCGCTCCCTCTCAGCCCTCCTCCCCTGCTTTCTTTCTCTCTCTGCCCCCCAGGGACCACCCGGGGCTCCGGTGGTGCAGTCTGGCAGCTAGGAGCCGGGGGTGGGGGGGTGGGCCTGGAGGCAGACAGGGCCACCTGGCCCTTCAGAAGCACAGTGTCGGGGGTGGGGGTGGGATGGCTGAGACCCTTCAGGCTTCGAGACAGCGGGGAGGTGCCCAGTAGGGGGAGGCGGGAGGAGGCAGAGCCACTGGGAAGTCCAGTTACCAAACTCAAAACCTGAGAGTCTCCTGCCTCCTTGGAGCAGGTGCAGCTCCGGGAGGGCCCCCCGGGTACTCACCTTGGCAGTGGAGGGACAGGAGGGTCTTGGGGGATCCTGGCCATGCATTCTGTGCCTGGACCTGCGTGTGGGTCTTGGGCTTTGGTCGTTTGGCTAAGATCTGTGCCCGCACCCACCGTCCTTATGCGAGGTTTTCAACTGCAGGTGCATGTCGGTGTGTGGTCGAGGCTGTGCTGCCCACACCCCTTCCCAGCTCCAAACTCGCACCTGCAGGGGCCCGGGGAGCCTGGGAGTCCCGGGGCCAGGCGGGCCCCCTGATGGGAGTCAGGGTCCTCCCCAGTGCAGCTGACATGGCGCCTTCTCTCCATCATGGCCAGGGGACCCAGCCCCCCGTGGAGGTCCCCCAACCCTTGCCGTCCCTACCACCCCCCTACTCCCAGAAGCTAGGTCTTTCCCTCCCAAACAAACTCTAGTAAAAGTCTCCTTGCAAAAGATTCCTCTTGGTGTTCAGGAAATTCGGGTTTGGGGGCAGAGAAACTCAGAGCAGCCTGGTCTCTTAGAATCTGAGGGGTACACCTGCCCCCCAGAAGCGGTATGGGGGCAGCAGCCCCTCGGCCCTGGGGAGTTGCTGGGCACTGTCCTAAAAGATCCAGGCACTTGGCAAGGCCACCTTGGCCCACAGCTGGGCCTGCCAGGCAAGACCACGCCAGGGGGCAGCTGCATCCTGGGGCCCGAGGGTCGGGAGGGCCATGACCCCGCCTTCCTGACCAAGCTCTGCACACTGGCTGGGCCGCCTCAGCCACCACGGCCCAGAGATACCTGGCACCCGGAGGCGGGCGGTGGGTACCAGAAGGGACACACACACAGGCGGCCTTTGTCTGTGGATGTCCATGGCAACAGGGCAAGTCCAGCTGGCCTGAGGTGGCCGAGTTCTGTTACACAGCCCGAGCTGACTGAGACACATGCCTTCTAAAGTATAAGTCCTAGTGTGCAGCTGGGCCGCGAGCCCAGTCCTGGGCCTGGCACCGAGCACGGCCATCGCGAGCTGAGTCTGGCCGGGCCACCCGGGCAGCCCGCGTGAGACGTAAGAGTCTCAGGCAGAGCCGTGCTTGAGCCCGCGGTCCAGGCCCCACGGCACCCACCACTGTGGCACAGAGCCCTCAGCCTGGCCCTCCGGGGAGCCGGCACAGCCAGGCAGCTGAGAGGGGAGGGTGTGCCGAGCTTGGGTGCCGGATGGCCCCTGGGAGTCAAGCAGGAGCAGGTATGGCAGCACGACCCTCTAGCTTTGCCCCTGGCCACCCTTTGTGTGCAAGAGAGATGGCCGGAGGGCAGTGGCGGGTGGCCTCCCGGCCGGGTAGAACCTCAAAAGGAAAGGAGGTCTGGGCAGAGGCCCGTGGTGTGCGTGCAATGCACGAAGGTCTCCCTCTCCCTCAGTTTCCTGCCCACCAGCCAGCACCGGCCGAGAAGCGACCTGAAGCCGCTCAGACGCGGCCCCGCCCTGCCAGCTGGGGTCACCAGCTGCCTCGGTGCTGGCCTGGGGGGCAGTGGCCACATTGGCAGAGAGGGAGGCCACCTGTGGGCCCAGCACTGTGAACTCTTAGGGAGCAAGGTGGGTCAGCTTCCCTGCCTCCAAACGCCCAGCCTGCCAGCACCCAGGGCGGCGCTGAGCCCCTGAGCTGGGCACCAGGCGACTCCGCTGAGCCCCTTCGTTCCGAAGGACAGCGGCTCCTCCTCACAGGAGGGGGCTCAGGGCCTCAGCCAGCACCACCCCCTGGGGTTGCAGGCGTCCAACCCTCCAGCACGGGATCCCCTGTGACACCGCACCCACTCTCATCACAGCAAGGGAGGGCACAGCCGGAAGTGTCCGCCGGGCCAGACCCCTGTGAGGGAGGGCGCCTCGCCCAGGATCTCCTCGTGGGGCTGCGTCCCCAGCAGGAAGAACAGCTGGGCCTGGGGACCGAGGGCTGGGATCAAGGTCTCCCTCAGCCAGGGCCCCGCAGGCCCGGCCACACGGCAGTCTTCCCTGCCATCCGACAGGTGCCGGCCCCTGATGCACGTCGTGCACCCCAAACTCTGCCTTGGCCTCCGAGTCCGGAGAACCCGACCTGCCACAGGTGGGGCCAAGATCAAACTGGTCACTCTGAGGGACGGGCGGGCTGTGCACTCCAAACCTTTGGGGCTGGCCGGACCCTGAGAAGACCCCTCCATTCTCCGGCTTGGGAGGATGCGGAAGGAGGGGGCTCTGTAGGCACCCCCATTCCCTGGCTCTCTGCCTCTGTAGGGTGGGGGGCCCTCAGTCCGGACCTCCAGCTGTGGGGTGTCGCCTCCAGAATCCAGCCTCCCTGTCAGCTGCTTCCCTCCCTCTCCTGTCCTCTGTGTCTTTATGAGCTTATAACTTAACAAAGAAACTCATTACTGTCATTTCAATGGGGCTTCCAAGGGGATCAAAAGTAAATGCATGTGGTTGTTTGTCCCCAGTGGGTCCTCTCCCTAATTTCCCAATCAGCCTGGCTCTGAGCTCTGACCAGTCCCACAGGGAGAGGGAGGGACCCTGGAAGCCTGGGGTCCTGTGTCTGGGGAGGGAGGCCAAGGACTGGTCTCTCCTTCCTTCCTTCTGCTTCTCTTCTCGACTGTTCTGGGCCAGACGCTCTTTCCGGAAATGTCCGTGCTCCCTTCTCTGGAGGCTTGCAGTTTGGGGGACCAGAGTGGTAGGATGCCAGATGCCTTTGGGGCTGGGGCCTCCCTAGGGCCTCATGTGGACACCTGCTTTGCTACACGAAGCAGCTGCCCCCCGCCCCCCTCCGTGTACGGCAATCATTGCCCCTAGATGGATTAGGGTCACTGATGCAGGGGCCCCACACCACGCGGTGCACAGCGTCTCCAGCATCCCTCCCTCTCCTGCAGATCTGACCAGATGATTTGGAAATTAGGGAAAGGACCTGCTGTCCTTCTCCCAGGGCAACTGGGAAGAATCAAGCTGTGAAAAGAACCCCACCCTGAGGCCACAGAGGGCTGGAGAGGAGGCAGCCTGGCTGAGCTTCCGGCATAACCCGTGGGAGGAGGGGCCGCGAGGATGCAGGGTTTCCATGGCAACTGTAGCTGCGGGGAACCACAGGGCAGAGGCCCAGGGAACAGACCCCATGTGGGCGAGGGTGAGGGGGGTCAGGTGGGGGCCAGCAGGAGGTGTGGTCCCCCTCTCCTGCTTTCCTTGGGCTTCCTCTCTGCTGCTGGACAGACGGCCGGACATTGCAGGGGGACCCCACTGAGGCCGGCTCCTCCTGGCTGCCTTCCCAGCCGCCTGCCGCAAGTCCAGGCGTAGGTCTTGCTGACACAGGGAAGGGGTGCTCGGTGCTTCTTGAGATCGTCTGTGGTAGCTGCCCCCAGTCCCACTGTGCCCCGGAGAGCGGGCTGCCTCCTTGCTCGGCCCCAAGTCCTGTGCCCTCCACAGCTGCCCACCCTGCTTCCTCGTGCCAGGCGAGCCTGGCATGGCATCCTGCCCGCTGCCTTCCCTGAGCCCCCATCCTCACTGTGTAGTGGCCACGGGCCCCCTGAGCACCCCTCCGTTCTCCCCCCCAGCCCCGTGCCGCTGGAACATGCCACCCCTCCAGCCTGCCTGGCTGCCCAGGGCGTGGGTGGGGGTGACCGCGTGTGAGGGCAGAGGAAGGGCTGAAACTGGGGTCCTTCTTCCTTGACACCTGGCAGTAGGTGGGGCCTTCAGGGAGTCTGGCTTCCACAGAGAGGCAGGTGCAAGTGTGCATGGGGGGCTCCCGCAGCACTGAGGGGTCCCACGGGACCAGGCTTCCTCCTGGCTCTGTGACCACACCCCAGATGTGGCAGGTGGCACGCAGGTGGTGAGCGCCCAGCACTCAAGGGCCAAGGCTGGGGGGTGGGGGCGGAGAGGAGGTGGGTACCGAGGGTGGAGGCCCCTCCTGCAGGCCCACTGCAGCCACTTTTCCAGGTTCCCAGCTAGCAGGCCGGCCCAGTCCCTCAGGCTGGTGGCCTCAGAGGCCCCCAGGCCCCCTCTGGTCTTGCTGCCAAATGGAGCACCTGGGCCAGAGAGGCAGGCAAACGCCTAGCTCACTGGCCCCACACACGCAGTCTGTGCCCTAAGAGGGCCCTGCGTCTGCCCAGACCCCTGGGCCAGGCAGGAGGGGTCAGGCCAGGCGGTGGGAGAAGGTCAGTGCAGGAACGAGTTTCCCAGTGACAGCTGTCCCTTGCTGAGGGTGCGATGTGTTCTAGGCCCAGGCCAAGGGCAGCACTGTACCCTCCAGGCTTCCGTTTGAGAGAGGAGAGACACCCAGGGAAGGGCTGGGGCCCCAGCTTGTGAGTCACCGAGCTGGGCCTGGGCCCGCTTCCCAGCTTGTCCCCTGCTCCGGGGGCAACGTCCGCACGGGCCTGGGGCCTCCCAAGCTCCACACTGTCCCTGCATTCGAGACAGGCAGGGTCCCCGTGGACAGAGGTTTTCTCCCTCCCCGGGGAGCCCAGGTGCTCGGCTTCCATGGGACGGGGGGGCGAGGGGGCAGCAGAGTGTCCACCAGCGAGGGCCTGGTCAAGGAGCGGTGGTGCGGCCACGGACAGATGTCACCCAGCCCCGCCCCCAGTCATGTCTGCGCAAACCTCTCTGTGAGGCCTGGGAAGTGCTCGCGGGGCATGTTACGTGGCAGTGAGGCCACAAAACCAGGTGACCCGAGTCATGGAGCAACCACTGAAAGTAAACACCGGGAAGTGAGCGCGGCTGGGGCCCCCAAAAGACATGCACCTGGTGTAAATGTGACCCACTTTGGAAGAAAGGGTGAAGGACCTCAAGATGAGAGTGTCCCGGGGTCGGTGGTGCTGCATCCGATGGTCAGTCCTTCCAGAGAAGGGGACAGGCCTGTTGAGGACGGAGCAGAGGTGGAGGGGTGCCTGGAGTCCGAGGCGCCAGCACAGGCAAGGAGGACGCTCCCCCGGAGCCTCAGGGGGGAGTGCGGCTCTGGGGCCCCTTGACTCTTCAGGCCTCCAGCCCTGAGAGAGAACAGCGTTCTCATCTTAAGCCACCCGGCGTGTGCTCGTCTGGACAGTGGCCCCAGGAGAAAACACAGAGGGCTTCACCCCATCTCGGCAGAGCGCGGTGGGCACTCACAGCGCCTCACTCACTCTCCTCCCGTGCTCACCGCCCCACGGCCCCCGGGGTAAGTGCCAGCGGGTCAGCTTGGCCAAGGTCTCGGGGC